GGATCCGAATGAATCTTAAGAAGGGCTTAACATTTTGTTCTGTGGCCAAGTCATATGAACATTAATTCTGAGTTAATCAAAGGATCAAAGTTAAGTACATTTTAAATTTAAAACCTCCCATCAATACGTAGGTCAAGAAAATGACAGATCTAGGTTCAGCACACAGGTTCAGGAGATGGTTTCAAACGCAGTAATTCAAAGGGACTAGAGGGGACCATAGTGTTCCACTGCATCCCTGTATTTTAGCAAACCTGGCCCCCCTTAAGCTCTGTGCCAGGGTCCATAGCCAGAAATTGTGTCAACAATATCTTTTAAACTGAAACACAGAGTTCAATACTTGCAATGCGGCAGACCTACTCTTAGTCTAATCTTTCTCTTTTCTATTGCAGATATAAAGTCATTTGAGCTTTATGTCCGCAGTTACCAAAAGTGCAAAGAGAAATGAATAACAGGAAGCTTACATTTGAAAATTGGAAATTAATTTCTCACACTTTACCATGAAAGGACCAGAAAACCTTCTTGGTAAAAAAAAAAGTTGTGAGGTTAATGTACAGAGTATTTGGAAATGAACAGTTCTCAGACACCTTCAATCAACACACTTTAGAGATGTAACTGTGCACAAGCTAGATTTTCTCATGGCAGACACATAAGCTCTGTAACATCATCAAACTGGAGGTTGGGAGTAATTCCACGCGCAACATGTAAATTCACACAAGTTTGTTTTTCAGTGAGTTGTTTTCCACTGAACTCACATATATCACAAACATGCAACATGCATGCCACACTTTGCAGTTCCTAGTAGAAATGTTAGACGAGGACCAGTCACATGCCCAATCATGTGACAATTGTGTGTCATTCATATATAAATTGAAGTAAAATTTGTGAACAAAGTTATTGGGAATTTATCACTTTTAACTTGTTTTGACTTTCTGTACTCATATGGTATTTATAAAAGGGGGTAAATACATGCTTGGGGCGGTCTTAAATGTTTAAGACCAACAGAAATAAACTGCCTCTTGTCCTTATTGTATCCAACTTTCTGCACAAATCCAAGAGATTAACAATCAACTACGAATCAGTGAGCAATTGCTCTTCAAATGAATCCATGCTTCTAAATTACTCTAATGTTCTCCGCAGTTCTGACAGTTATAACAGGGAGTCAGGCCAGATCCATGACAAAATTTAGTCCTTGATTATAAGTACACACCTATTTGTGATAGCATTATAATGTACACTGAAAACGGGTCTCGGCAAAATCAAGTACGTAGTGTTTGCACATGAAACAAGCACGAACATCTAGTTTTTTGGGTTTTTGTTCTTCTTGTTCTTCTTTTGCTCTCTTTTTACTGGTAAGGCCATTGATTGACACACACCTTTATATTCTGCCTACCCGATGTTGATGATAATCATGCATTGCATCATTCATACTTTTTTCAATAAATAAAGGTCAAATGAGGAGTGGACATTTCTGTGTCAGTACCCAAACAACTCTGACCTTTAGAATGCCCTGAACTGGAATAGCTGTGTGGCTGCAACAACTCTCCAGGCATTTTGGCCTATGACTTCCCTCAAGCCTCCAAAATCCTTCCCAGCCAAGAACACCATTGGTGCAGTCTTTTTTCTTCTTTGCCCCATACAAAAAAGTAGTAAAATAGATGGGCCTTCCTCAATCCTGTAAAATCCTTCAAAATCCGCTGGTGACTTCTGGTGACGGTGTTTGCGACTGATTCCAGTTTAGTCAATGGCATTTACCAGGTCAGATAAAATCCCTTTAATACTGAGTTGAAATTGAACCTGATGTCTTTAACCAAACAGCTTTTCACAGGCTTAAGTAACGATCAACATCAACATGTGTAAAACTGTTTTTAAGTTTGTCTTTTGGGTTTTTTTCTCTCTTTTTTGATATCTCCCTCAAAGCAAACAAGGAGATCCAGATAAAGGGAAAGAAGTTATATTCCATTTCCTTTCATGAAAGTAGTACTTGAACTGTTAATGAAAATTTACTGGTGGTACCTAAAAATCAGTTGACAATAATGTTTGCCCCGAACCAGGGCAACTGATGTTTGCTTCTGTTTTTGTTTAATCAAAAAAGCTGAAATGATGTCCTTGAGATTAGGTGGATAATATTTGAGGCTAGGGAAAATCGGAAATGTCACAAGCTGATTTAGTTTTGATAAAATGTTAATTAAAACGTGTTGTAAGAGGAGCTACCAATCGTATCTTCAGGTCTGAGTAATGGCTGCTCACTTGTCAGGTTTTTTTTTACTCTTTCAACAGAAAACAAAAGATTGCATGAATAGGAATGAAAGAATAATTCAGAAGTAAAAAACTTTTAAACTGAATGAGGGCCTGGCATCAATATCAAATCAAGACAAAGACAGAATCCCAGACATTGACGGAAAAAGCCAAGAGGGGGTGATTGGCATCGTGAAAGCATTTAGATACAAACTAATGCATGTTACAACCCAAAAACCACTTCTAAGCACCACCTCAGGAGGTATCCGCTCCTGCAAAGGAAAATAAATGAGGTTTGCCAATCACTGTAACCCTTATTTTGTCTCCCAATTGACAATAAACGACATCCGAGTGTCCTTTCGGGAACATTCCCTCCTTAGGTCACAATCAAGCAAACAATGAGCTTTTAGCCATGAGGGAGACGGGAGGGCATTTATGGTGGCTAGACAAGCTGGCTCGCTTGCTGTTACTTTAAACCCTCAGTGTGCCCCGGTGTCGTTTCCCCTGGTGATCGTAAAGAGGTGGATCGGGTTATGGCTGACATGGTTTGGCGCCATGTAAGACCAGGAGCTTGGGAGAAAGTCTCTACTTGAAGTATTGGGGCTAATGCCGTCTGCGCCGTCATCAAATTCTGCACTATAATTGTCTATAGCACTATAATCCAACAACGGAGTGTTCCTTTTTATAGCCATGCGTCGGGGTGAGGTTATTTTTACGAATATCCAGAGACCCATCACCCAAGGTAGATTCATAAGACTACAACTTTACACCAAAATGCTTTCAGTGAGAGTTGAGCTTCTTCTGCTCTATCCTTCAAAACATTTAAGAACTGCATGTATGTGAATGTCCTGCCAGAGAAGGACAATAGGTGGGTCCACTAAATGAAGATGTTTACAAACAAGTGGGGCTGTGCCTTGGTGAGTTTTTTTCTCAAGTGAATGTCCTGCCAGAGAACAACAGGTTGTTTCAGGTGTTCATTTTTGGCATGTATCCAACTTTCAATCTTGGACCTTAAATAACATAGCAGGGGAATAGGTTCAAAGGTCAGTTAGGGGAGTGTCCCAGACTGAGTAAAAATACTGCGGGACACCTTCGCAAAAGTTAAAATACGAAAACCAGAAGGACAATTCGGCTTATGAGGCCGGTGTTTATCTCTGGTTTCCTTGGCATGAAACAACTGAGAATACTTCTATTCCCCCTGGATGGGATGCCAGTCAATTGCAGAAGGACCATAGGAGGGTCCACTACATGAAGATGTTTACAAACAAGTGGGGCTGTACCATGGTGAGTTTTTTCTCAAGTAAAAACGTATTTCAACCATTTTCCTTGCGATGCAAACCTTGCCACTCAGCTAGACAAGCACAAACATGCAGGAATAGCTCACTCAAGCTTCCAACTGGATCTGGGAGTGAAGACTGTGGAGAAAAACCAATGAAATTCAACTGGACATTCCCAATGGCCCCTTGTAGAGGCTGAAAGCATGGTGTTGGATTTTCTATGTAGGTACTCTGGCACCAAACAGTGGCTCCACGCAACAGTTATCACAGTGCTTACTGCCATTAGTGGGAGCTACTGAAAACCACCAGTGACAGCGTCGCCACGGCTGCTGAACTTGTCTACAGCTTGGGGCGTTCTTATCAGTAGATTGGCTGATGCTACCTTGGCATTTCATGGCGTGCGAGGCAGCTAACCCATTAAGTATTAGTGTCATACACCCACACACTTGCCCCCTTCTGTACGGTGTAGCCAAATCCCCCTTTTTTCACAAGCAGCGAAATGAACGTCAGAAACGTAGCAGCTATGAAAAATGCCACCAATTGTCCAAAACTTTCCACTTTGAACAGCACTGCTACAAAATGGCTATGAGGCCTCTCCCCTTAACTTGATGAATACGCCCAACAGTGAGGCCAAATCTCACAGTACCTTCAGGTTTGTCTGCTTTACTTTTTGAGATGTTGGAACTCAAAAGGGAATGAATCCCCAACAAGAAATGTCATTTGGAATTCCAGTCAAGGGCATGCACCCCCATCTTGAATCTCAACAAGGTACATGTACATGAAGGCCACCTTACAAACGCGTACATGGTAAAACACACAGTGCAGAAGGCCGGTAAGTAGCCTCACGTTAGCTGGACATTTTGCCGTGCCTTGAGAACTCCACAATCACTTCTTCATCGAGTGTATCAGTTGCGAAGGCTTCAACTGAACTGGGAATAAAGAGTGATCTCCATCAACATCACTATCCATTTTGATGTTCAAATTGACAGGTGAATTTCGTTTAAACTATTTTTACTGCAAAAGGGAATGATGACTTTGTAAGAACATAAAGTGCTCTACTGTTTCATTCATGCAACGGCCTGCATGCCTATTCACAAGTAAGGAATATTTTTTAGTGTTCAAACACTTGCACATATTTATTAAAAAAACATTTAGGAGAAACACTACTAATGTGACTTGTCCCTTTCCTGAGTTTTGTGTCAGTAATGTTTCAGCTTTTGTTAGGATTTGGGATAGTTGCATATTCAAATATTCAATCGATTAAAAGGTCAATTATTCAACTATTCAATGATTTGCACCGACTCAGCCTAAATGCCAATCGTACATGTACATGTATTTGACTGTCTCTCAAGACACCCCATACCTGCACATCGCCACGTGGGAGATATTTTGACACAGGGTGCACACTTTATTTTCGTCCCAGAGAAAGAGTTTCAACCAACAATCTACAGTACTGCCTGTGGTTCAGACAACAGTAACGCATCTTACCAATCGGCGCGTGGTGGTGCAACGCTGCCCCTGGGTGCCCACGCTAGCAAAGAGGGTGGCAGGAATAACCAGGTTGAGGTCAGCATCTTCGAGTACTACGCAGAACAAATGAGAGAATGTGTAAGCATCAACAATTATGTGGAGCCAAACTTCCAAGTATGAAATTGGCTGCCCTGATGTTGTATAAGAGTACTTTTCAAATGTAAAAAATTGCCAAATATTGTACTACTTAGCTGGAAATAAAGCTGAAGAACATGGACATTGGACGTGATGCAGACTATCACTATTTTTGCAAACAAGTGAGTTTTAAGGGGAAAATATGGGCTTACAACACTGTGACAGAATGCAACCATCAAATTGTCTGTTGTTGAGAACTTTTCTGTATTTACACTCGTGTACGATCAAAATTTCAGTTAAACTTACATAACATCCTTGAGATGGACTAGATCATCAAATTGTCTGTGGCTGAGTATTACGGTGTATTCCAATTCACACTCGTGCTAGTCAAACCGCTCTATTAAAATTTTAAAGGCTACAGTAAACATGCTTCATTTTGCAATCATAATCAGGAATTTTTTCTACGCCCAGTCATTAGTGCTTGCACCCTAGCAACCTGCAGTTGATAATTTGTATAGTTCTGAACTTCAATATTTGCAGAGATCAAAATGTACTGAACCATAACCTCTGTGTTATAGTACTTGTACATACTCAAACACTCTGTCTTGCATTTAGACCCAACTGAAAACCTTCCAAAGTTACTCAATGACACCTAAAAGGAATTCAACTCCTACTTGCATTTGCAACACTTCAACTACCTGTAGGATCCCTTCTTTGGTACAATTTTGCACACTGGTACTCATAAACGTGTACACCGCTACATTAACCCTTAAAGAGCTGGGGTTAAGTTGGACTATCTCATAGCTGGAGGGGGAAACTTGGCAAACAAGGAAAGACACCCCTTACCAGTATAAATGTTAAATTCAACTCAATTTACAAATGGTTTTGTTATGATCATTGAAATTTCATGGCCACAGGGGTGGATTTCCCCCTCCCCCTCGTAGGGATGACGCTTGTTCCCATAGGCACAGGAGGATTGGTGGTAGGACAAGTTTGCTTTATCAAGGCCCTCAGTAAGCTGGTGCTGCAGTTGGGACCTCTTAAATTAGACCGTCGCAAGACCCTTGCGACTAGTCCTACAGAAGACCAACCAGTGCGAAATCAGATTCACAAGCATTTCAAATCAAACTCTGTTACTTGTGACTGGTCCCGCGTCTGGTCTTGTGATAATCTTGATTACAAAACTGCAGTGAGTACTGTAGTGACTAACATACTCCAGAGTCAGTTACAAGAAGACTCTCCATACACTAGGACTCCTGCAATTACCTATGATGGCGTTGTTACCTCCAAGCTCCAAGATGCAGCGGCCAAATCTCTCCTGCACAATTGTTCCAATTTTCTGCCCTACCTTCAAAGCAAAGACAGATCTGAATTACGACTTCCGTTTCAAAAACGGATTTTTTGATGCATTTAAAAGTACTTCCAGCTACAAAGCGGACCCTTTTAACAACTTGAGAATCATCAGCTGAGGTAAGTCCTTGTGTTGTTAAATTTCAGGCAGGGAGGCATGTTCTTGTTGAACTATGGACAATTCCAATTCAGGAGGAAAAGCTTCACTTGTTTTTCACAGTAATAATGCCGAAAGTAGAATTCAAAATATTGTGTGCATTAAAGAAAAAAACAGTACCACTCGGAAATTTACAAGTGTTGAAATAAGGACATAGGATCAGATCGAAAAATTTCTTCAAATTTATGGCCAACTAATTATATGTTATACAAAGGTTGGTGTGATCATTGGCTCTCAACAGCCTTCCTCTTCTATTTTGTGTACATTCAGCTGAAACTTGTCACATGTCTCCGAATCACATGAATGCTCTCAGTCCACATGATGTACACATCTTGGCCCTCCCATAATTAACGGTACATACATGTAGTTGCTGTCTCAGCCGGCGGAGCAAAGACACCATAAATCCCGCCTGGTCATTTTGAAGTGTTCATGTGACAGGGACACCACAGTTGTTTTCTTAATAAAGACCCTCTGCTCCCAGCTCCGCATATTGCTTGCAATGCAAAGAGGCTTCCTTGTTTTCAAAACAAGTCCATGCTACCACCATTACATCAAAGGGCAATGCAACCAAACATACAATTGGAGTTACATTTAACTACATTATCAAGACGCGTAGAGAAATGTAGATATGGCCACCAAAGCATGGGATGGTCAACAGAGCCTTTTTCTTCTTTTTTTAATTTCAACTTACAGGTGTGCTACCAGTGAAGGACACAATCGGTACCCTCTCATCACGGGCAATGGCTTCTCTGTTTTGAGGAAGTAACGAACATACGGATCACAGAAAAATAATAGTTTAGAAACCACCTTCCTCTGCTATGTCAAAAGTTAATTGACGCATCAACTGGTCTGGCACTGCTCCTTGATCGAACTGTTCTGGGTGCATTTACTAATAAAGGAATTCAATTTTCACATACTTTTCTGGTGCGCAGGCAGTAAATTTGATTTTGGTTCAATACTTCATTCATCACAGTTAACCAATTCAAGTTGCAGTCACAGAGCTATATTTAACAATATCTAGAGCGCTAACTTGCTGTGCAATGTGAGACCTGCTTGAAAGCAAATGCGTGTCTAGACGCATTGCAGATAATAAATCAAATGACAGAAAATGGACTGTATGTTTTTTGTGTTTGTTCTACTTTCATTTCATCTTACTTTATCAAGTTCTAGAAATATGCACCCGAGTTCAAAATGTCTGTGCCTAAGAGGCAACCAGTCTTCGTGCAGGGCATGAGGAGCTCGCACTCTAGTAAGTTAATATAGCTCCGTGGTAACGGTCCACAAATGTCAATCTCACACAATATTGTACAGCATACCATGAAAATATATTGAAGGTCATTATCAATAGTTGCTTCAATAACCTCCAGGAGCGTGCTCTTTGATGGCTTGCACAGCTTTTAAACCCGATTCGATATTCCAAGACATCAACTTGTCAGTTCGGTAATCCATTTCCACGAGATTTTAGGATTTTGACTTCATGGTAAAATGGAGCACGTGAACACGTACAAGTCTATAGGGTGTGTGGCAAATGAATTCTTCAGTACTCCAATTCTTTAACTTATTAAAAACGAGATGGAAATGTCCGTTCATGCAAACTTTGATAGATGCGTACGACCCACCCATTGCACTCCAAGACCAAATCTCTGCATATGATTTTCTTGGTCCTCTGCCATTGTGCATGCTTATGGTGACTTATTTATCCTGAGAGAAACTAACAAACGTCAGAGCATGCACAGTTGAAATACCGAACTGGCTTAGGAGAACCCAATGTCATGAGGGCTAAACCCAGGTAATTGGAAAATGCTCCACACAAAAGGAATTGTTCTGAAAAAAGAAGTCCAAATACCCGAGATCAGCTCCACCACACAACAGGGTCATGATAGCCGGCGGCATCTTGTTGGCAGCAAAAACAGACTGAATAACTCTGCAATGAAAATCAAAACAAGTTATATCAATATCGTCAGACAGGGTGGAATGCCATCCTCTGACCTTTAGAACAAAGCTCGCTTCGGCAAACCACACATCAGAGGCTAAGGAATGCTTTTGTCACAGTTGACAGTAATATTAATTTAAACAGATGGGGTAGGTTGTTCTCCTTAACCGATACATGTACATAGGACTGACTGTCAATAAACAAAGTCAGTTTCACAACACAGTCTAGATTCAAACTGCACCTTTAGGGGAGGCGACATCCAATGCTAATACGGGTGTTTCACAATAGTACGCCTCCAAGAGTTTGCAACGCACTGGCCAATCATAATGCATGAAATCTGTCGACCCAACGCGGGTTTGGAAAGGGTCAACAGATTTCGCGCACTGTGATTGGCCAATGCCTTGCAATCTCTTGGCGGCACGCTACTGTGCATCGCCCGTATTGATCGACTTTGGAACGGCAAACATCATTTTGATTTAGCAATCTGAGATGTGGCAAACAGCATGCACACAAGTCAACACCAAAGAGAAAATTAGGGCACTCTGTATATAATATTTAGAGCTTCTTGTAGAGCAATGCTCATCTTCCAGCTAAACCATGCATGAAAGGCTACGGAATATAACTGTCACAACCAATTGGAGTAACTTAGGACTTGAGACTACCTCATGAGGACTTATGGACTGAGCTGCGAGTCTGGTCTCTACAATTCAATACAATACAATACAATTCTACAATATTTGACAATCAAAGCTAACTTGTGTCAGTGATTATTATGCTCGGAGACTTGTTAAACTGTGTTGTTTATAAGCTCAAAGGTTTCAAGCTCAAAACCTTTCTTACGACACAAGTTGACCCCTAGATACTCGGAAGGCTTACTTTGTAACGGCAATGCCACACAATGGGGTTGAAGGGGCTGGCTTCCTAAGCAAAAGAGATAGAAATTGCAATTTGGCACATGAGATACACACAAAGGCCAATCACCATATATACAAGAGCCAGGGTATGCTTTCTTTCACCGTGTTCGCTCGAGCGTGGGCCGAGAATAATAGCTGAAAAGCGGGCTGAGGGATCTCAATTTTTACAGCGGCTATTACCGCTTCCCAGCGCAGAGGGGTTAAAGGATGTTAGCATAAAGTTGTTTATTATCTTCAATTCCATTTTCCCCTTTTTTTCAAGGTTCGCATTATGTAATCACTCATAGACCCATTACACTGGTTACATACTTGTTCACATTCCAACTAAACTGAAATTAGAGCAAAAAAACTCCATTTTACCAGAGGCAAGTGTTCCCACAGACCATGGTGATGCCAGCGTTCCAACCAAACACTGCAGTGGGGAAGTTGAAGGCCGTGATGACCCCAGTGTGTCCACGAGGATTCCACTGCTCGAGAAGAGCGTGGCCAGGTCCTGTAAGGCCCCAAAAAATGTCACACTGCCCTGATTACACTCTCGGGTCTTATCGTCACCTCCATTTCATAAAATATTTATGCACTGTGGAATAAACTGGCTCCCAACTTTCCACAGGAGATCGATGGAGTACCACACTGTTCTTTCTACCCAACTTTGTCTCGTTTTCTAATCCTGCACAGGGAACCATACACTGATTGGCCTTTGGATTCTATTCTCAAAAGTACTGTCTACCCAATGTCACTGTCCGTGTTGTTTTCTGTTTTCTCTCTTTGACCCATTTCCTAAATCCAAAACTCCAGTGTCTCCCCTCACATGAAGCCACGAGTAGAACAGTGTTCGTCATTCAAAGCTCAAATAACCCAGGTTGAACAAAACAACACGTAAAACTTCAATTATCCCACAAACAGTTGATGTGGGCAACACAATGAGTTAACTCAATGATTTGCGGCTTCTTACAAGCACCACTGAACACACTAAGGTGGGAGACCACCGACACAGGGCTGGATAGCCCAGTAGATTGACTGCCAAATCGAAAGGTCGTGGGATCAAGTCCCACCAGGCATCTTAATCAGTTCGCTGAATCCTAAAGTTTATTCCCGAGTCCTGAAAACTCTAGAACAAACTCTCAAGAAGTCACAAACTTAAAAGTGGTGAACTTAAAAGTGGTGAACTTAAAAGTGGTGAACTTAAAAGTGGTGAACTTAAAAGTGAATTTCTATCCTTTTTTGCTTTTTATTTTTATTTATTTTCATACTCTTTTAAACATGCATTTGTATGTATTTCAATGTTTAAAACTTACGTTCTGAGGGGAGAACTCTGCCGGCAAACATCCTGGACAGGCCGACCGCAAAGTCGCAGATGTCAATAAATTCCTGAATCTCCCCGCCACCTTCAGCTACGATCTTGCCCACCTCCAGCGACAACTGCAACAGAACAAAAGCCTTTGATAGACTCGTTCTCACAGTTTCCCACAGCCAATGAGACAGTTCACGTGTAAAATGATCCGTAAGTTGATCTTTCAGTAATCTCAATTGTTGATTAATAGTTAAAGTAGGTTGAAAACAGACATGAAATTCTTGTCCTGGTGTGAAAGCAATAAGACTACGAACAGGAAACAAATCTACAATGACAATCTTAAAATTATTATAGCTTAAACTCTAACTTGTATAAGTCTTAAAAGTCTTAGATTAGTCTCAGGTTAGATTTTAAGCAATTAGTAATTTAAAAACACATAACTTAATCAATAGGCATATTCCCACACAGGAGGATAAGACTATTAGATGATAGTAAAGGGACTGCCAGCAAACATGGCAAACAAAGACTGATATCAGAAAGATGACCCTTTCTTGACTCACACAAATACAGCAAAAGAAAAATGACATCAGTGGACTGACGGTAAAAAGACCGGAGCGCTGCACTCAACCGATCCCCACCCTCCCCTTGACCAGCAAGAATGATTATCTCACAGTTTCTCTTCCTGAAATTCCTCAGTGGCGGATCTTAGTTCAGTAAAATACAGGAATACAAAGGGGCATAGGGGGCCATGGACCTAAGTGTTCCACTGTAACCTTACATTTTCAATTAACCTGGATTAGCTTGTTTTCCTATGTTATTCGTAATTGTGACCTGTCACCAGCAAAATGAGCTGAGTCGGAATTTTCAAAAATTGAGATATTGGTATTTTTGAGATCAGCAGAAAAAGAGCTCTCCAAATGGCATGTACCTGGAACACTTAGGGTAGAAGTATAAGGTGACAATATGACATTATTCTGGCAGCTGTGCGTCTTTGTTCCCGACAACATTTCAGACCAGGCATGCATAATGCTTTTGTCAAAACTGCTGTGAAAATGACATGTTTAACTCTACGATCCTGCGAAATATTTGGAATTAAACAGGAGACTGGTTAGTCTTTCCAAATATTGCAAAATCCCCAAATTAAGCTCCACTTCAATATGATTTTGGACCTTCAAAATAGGAAAGAGCAGAATGCGACTTTCCGCTCATTTTGTCGTGACGGGTCACAATTGTATCGCAGTACCAGTCCACGTTGAAGCATTTCGTCAGACTACAGTTGGAAGTCCAACTGAGTTTTCACTTACCAACTGCCCAATTGCATTTTTCTTCACCCGAAGAGCATCTCCAATCTGACGCACAATTTCACCACGCATGGGCGCTGGCACCTTAAAAGAAAAATAATGTTTTTTAAGTGCTTTCTACTTATCCATGTTTGAATAAAGAATATTTTTGTCAATTGTTAAAAAGAAACCAAAAACTCAGCGCTGCTTTGAGTCATCAGACTTCTAACATTCCAAACTGAAACCCTATGACCTACGCGTACGCTCTCAGCTTGCATCCTATCCCGTCCCACATGGCTAGCGTGTATCAAACTAACCATACCAGCTGAACACTGTATAAGCTAAGGAATACCTGCCAAAAGGAACTGATGAACTGATAAATTACCCTGACCCAATCTGAACGAGCAAAAAATTACAAATACAATGGATTTCCCACGAGATACATATATACCTGTATGTATATATACTCACATCTGCCCATACATCCCAGGCTTCTTTGGCATTCTTGACGCTTTCGTCATATTCCTCCAGGCTGGCCTGGGTACAAAGAGAGAGATGTCCGGTGAAAGACATCCAAATGCAAAACCAAGGAATGACTAGCGCCAACAAAATATTAATACATTCTGAGATTTTGAATTGTAGATGATCACGAACGCAGGTTTTGGTTGTACACGTACATGTGCAGTGTACGTGCAGAGCAGCATGAGAATTGTACACTGTAGTCTGATCTATAATACTAGAGGACATGAGGATAGATGGACAGGATGACCGTATTGCTCAATTAACAGGAGGTATTACAAAGGTGGTACAGTAACCACGTGAAAACAAAATAGTGCATTTAATGTAGTTTGGCCAAGACTGTGTCTGCAAATGGTGAAATGTACACACATCTCAACTTTGAGAGTGTATCAGACATGTACAGTGTACACAAGTCCATGTACTCTGTACTACCTCAGTTGGAAGCCCCTTCGTGAAGAACAAAGATGAGTGCCAAAGCTCTTCAAATCTACGTTCCAGAATAAAACAAATGACTGACCTGTCTGACAGTTGCAATAGGCTCTCCATTTATAGGGCTATAAGATGTGATGAGCTGTGGGAAAATGACAAAAATACAGGGTCAAATACAAACATGATGTAGTGTGATGCAAATACTCTGTGATGCACGCACGCACGTGAAGTGTGCAATGTGAATTCGGAGGATTTTTACTAGGGCTGTAGGGGTACGAGCTATTTTGAGTGAAATGAATTAATGGAAAAAATAGCCTATGGAAGGTACTTGGACCCTGCTAATAGTAGTTTATCGCTCGGCCACGTCCAAATGTTTAAAAAAGGCAATTTGTAGTAGGGTCCAACAACTGGCACTGTTAACCAAGTTACTCGGACTCAGCCTAACCATGCTAACGAACAGGCACGAGAGTAACAGTACTAACATAAACATGTCACACACAACAGTTACTAAGTTTAATATACCCCAAGAACTGGGGGGTCCCAGGTAGGCCTAACAACAGAAACACACTCTTTACGCCGCTATAGGCACACTGACAATGAATGACTGACCTCCCCTTTGCCTCCCCATTTTCCAGTGAATGCTCCGGCGTTTTCCTCTTCAATTCCAAGCTCCTGCAAAAAGGGATACTTTCCACTGTTCACGAGCAAGCCAGAACTGTACTTAGCATGCACTACGGAGCAGCTGGCGAGCAAATTTCGGGAAGTTTTGATGAGAGAAGCTGTGCGTTTCAACATGGAGGCTGCCATCTTGCCAGGGTGCCAGGTACGCGTGTTGGCACAGAGACCGCCCTCATGAGTCACCTTTCCGCTGTACATGTTTATTTGCGCAAGTCCCTGCACGTAGATTGTCATGTTGTGCGCAAAGGAGTACCGTACATGTACGTTTTTCCTAATTCGAGCCTAGGAACCCGGAAGGAAACAAGTATGAAAATTGCGCAGCGGTGACTGAGATACTTGCACAACTAAGGTACATACATGTAGGTAATTTCCACTGTTGTGGTAGGCCTAAATTTAATATCGTACCATCTCGGCATGATCAGAACACCCCATTCCAACATGTGTAACATTTCCATTCATGACTCTTGTCAAGCATTGTCCAAATTTGCAAGCATTGATTGGATGAAAAAGCAATGCTTTTTAAGCTAGGACTGTTCCTGGTATGTACGGGAAAGTAAAAACTGAGGCCTTAGCTAGCTGTACATGTACATGTAATTGCTCGTTACATGGAATTCATTATTTTGAAAAGATTCCATATAGGCCTAATACCACTAGCACAAACCCCAGTATTACTATGGACTGGTCTGAAAAAAAAGTGTTTCCTTAGTGAACATGGTGAAGACTTTAATATTTTCACTGTTAAATTTGATGTCTTGGGTCATATTAGATGGCTTGTACTATAGGCCTATATATATTGGTCACGGCTGGGCAAGATAAGTGATGTCCAGTCTTTCTAGTATTACTTCCAGAATTGAGTTGATATTACTAGTCAGTCAGAGTCAGGATTTGATGTTCTTTCATACAGCCTAGTAAGTGTGAAAGGTGCACTCTCCTCAAAAGCTTAATTCCCCCCCACCCAAACTTGTTAGGAGGTATTCCAAGATCCTCTCTGCCTCCTCCCACCCCATATGTCTACAGCCATGTCCAAGCCTGATGACATGATTCTGGCATTTTAAATCACTTGGCTATTCATGTCACAGAGATTCCCCGTAACATGGCCGATATAAGCGTACTATGGCAGTCCCTGTCGCTGATCATGGTTGCGCTCCTCTGGGGAGCAACCAATCCGCTCATGAAGAGAGGCGGGGAGGGCATCCAGCGAGTCCAGAGGGGCGGCAGGGTGGCACAGTTTTTGGCAGAGCTGAAGTTCCTGATTTTGAACTGGAAGGTGAAAGCAATTACATGTACTTCAAACTGCATCAAATCAACCATTACTATCTTTTTCAGATGCATTAGTGATAGTTTTAGTAGCGTCTGTAGTGTTGGTGCAACCCTTCATTGCCCTCACTTTAACAGGATGGATTCAATGCAACTTTTCAAAGGGGTGTTAGGCCACTTTTCAGGTATTCTGCTTCAAATTGCATGAGAAAGAGAAGAGTAATCATTATTTTGGCAATAGTTGGATAGCAATGTACAAAATGTGGCTCTGGCACGGCAACACTTTTCTTAATTTCCAGCTTCATTTTAAAATTCTGTTGTGTTGTCTTTATTTCAGTACATCCTGCCATTCCTTGTAAATCAAAGTGGATCAGTTCTTTTCTATCTAACGCTAGCTTCAGCAGGTTGGTAAAAAATTTTTTGAGGGGGGTGGTTAAACTCCAAATCAAGTACCTGCCCCCATCGGCTTTCTAGTTACCCATAACAATGACAGTTTAATTCCAGTTAGAAAATATCATTTTCGGTCAGTTTACATCAACTACATTGCAGAAACGGTAACACTTGTTTGTCTTATAATTGAAATGAAATTTCCTATGATCACAAAATGGAGGTAGAGCTAAATTCAAGCAGTTGGTTTTGGCTTATCCATCAGCCAATCATGGACATTGTTGGATCAAAGACTTTGATAGGTTTATATAAATATGTATACCTTTTCGGTTACCATCAACCAGTTGACCATAATGTCCCAATATGGGCATTTCACAATAGTGCGCCTCCAAGAGTTTGCAACGTGTTGACCAATCACAATGTGTGAAATCTCTCAACCCAGTGCGCTTTTGGAAAAGGTCGACAGATTTTGTGCATTGTGATTGGCCAACGCATCGCAAACTCTTGGAGGCACACTAATATGAATTGCCCGTATTGGTAAATTCTTGAGAAAGAGCTGCTCCACTTAAAGGCCCTGAACTATAATGGTTACACACCAGTAAAGCCTTTTTTCCTGCATTTTTGCCTCAGGATTCCCTCAGTGAGTGAAATGTTTTACATGTATTTTTGTTTGTTTATATATTCAGAGCTTTCATTAGCTGTACCTATCACCAATGCACTAACATTCATCTTCACCACGCTAACGGGAAAGATGCTGGGTGAAGATATTGATGGGAAAGGTAATAACAAGACTGCTGGTTTGAAGCAACCTGGCTCTTGAATGAGCTCTGTTGTGCGTTTTCTAATTTTACTACTTTAGATTAAGATTTAGAAAAAGTGATGTGTTTGTGTTTCCCTAAAGTAGGGCCGAATTGTTGAAGTATTGGAACAGTGGACACCAGGCCTTGAGTAGCATCTGCATTTGTTTGTCTGCATTAATGCGAACGCATACTCTCCGGATGGGGTTTATGTACTGGACAGGAAAATGATAAGGGTGATGACGAGGATGAGGATGATGGTAAATGGAATTAATCAGACAGACGTGAATTCTCAGTGGTTTCTTTGCAGAAACCTACGTTGGAATGGCACTTGTGGTGGCTGGAGTCACTCTCTGTGTTTGGGATAAGACTTGAGAGGCTTGTGGGATAGGACTTCCGAAAATGAGGACAGGCGACTCTAAGTGATGAGGAAACTCAGCCAAGAGAGACTGGTGGTAGAAAAGCTGACTCATCTCATAACAAGGGTCCAGGTTTGAGATTTTGATTAGCCAGGATGTTGCCCAGGAACCTGGCAGAACTTTGAAGCTGATATTTTAAGATGAGACAAGAAATAGTTGATGAAAATTGGTGTTCAATTCACCTATATCTGAAATGAATGTCATACTTGTGCGTCTGTATCTTGTTTGTAATACCGGGGCTTGGATAAAGTCATTTAATTGTTGTGGACTGGTCATGTGTCATGTTAATACAGTCGGACCTCGTTGATAAAAGGTCCTTTTGACTTTGCATATTACCTTGTTATGACAGGAACCTTGTGTTTTCAGGAATGAAAACAATGAAAAACAAAGCCGAGAAACAGTGCGCCATCTTCTGGGATTACTAGACCCAAAGGGAGTCGACAAAGAGGGCGACGGCAACAGTACATTTTCTAAAGGCATACAAAGAAATTGCTGTAAAGACTGACAAACTATGTAATGTAATGTAAACTATGTAATGGGACTATTTTGATATTTGGTCTTCCATGATATTGTGGATAAGTTTTTGGCGTGTCTGAGTTGTTGGTACTGCACTATGAAACTATGTCTTGGCTGTGATACCCACTCACGATACGCGTTGGAGTTCTTCAGTTTTAACGCCGTCAAAACTTGCATGCACGTACATGTAGTTCCCTGTGATGGTTTTTGAGACAACTTGAGACAAGATTGCATTCAATTAATACAGGGATGACTCTGTAACCAGTTCCACCTCAAACCGGTTTTGTCTTGAATGTGGTATCATTTTGAAGAGAGGTAAGATTACATTTCAAGGTAATCATTCATTGATTTCAATTTATGGCACAGTACCACAGCTTTCATCTTTTTTATTTTTCGATGCAATTGGTAATTCCTGAGGATTCCCTTGAAGAAGCACGGCAACCTTTTTCTTTTCGTTAGGCGTGAAAAAATGCCACTTTCAAAATAAAATTGTCAACCACTCTTAAATGACCACTCTGTGAATTCGAGACTCCCCAAATCCAGAACCTAACCTACTTTTAAATTTGAAAGTCTAAAAAAGTCACCCCTAAGATTTTAATGTTACTTGTTTTGGATATATTTCAGTTGTTTGGTCCTCTTAATTTTATTGTCAGATAAGTTTAAATATCCGAGGAAGAAAATCACATGATTGAACAAGCTGGAGTTGGAGTCTCCCGCGGTTTCTCAAGCTTCCTCCTCGTTTGATAATATCACTCGATGAAACTTTATTAATACCTAACTTACGCTGTGAAACCAAAAAAAAGGCCAGAGAGGTTTCTTTATGATCAACAAAATGAAAGCTCATCGGCTTAGTATTATTTTAAAGGCTGGCACGTTTCCACATTAGATCCGGTCTATGTAGAGCGCATCGCAGTATTGCATACACAAGGACACTGACCAAACATGGAAGGGTCTGTGACCTGTACAAAGCGGAATTTTCATCTTCCCACGACTTGTCATCGTATTCTGTCCTCGCATTTCGGTAAAGTCTTATTCACCGGCCCGAACCAGCAGTCTTCCTTATTCCTTCAAACAGGACTGAAGGGCCAAGCCTTCATGCCGGACCTTGGAAGTTCTGAAAAAAGAGGAATACTTGGAGAAACGGATACATGTCAATTCGTCACCCATATTGCTCACACATTTATTTACATTTAAATTCTACATTTAGCAAGGTTGTCAATCATTAGGCTATAGGTATGTACACGCAGCACTCGAATTCTTTAGGAAAATACACATTAACAGGATAAATGTGCTAAAACCCGCACGTTTATAATTAAGGGTATTGCATGAACACCTAAGACAAGCACGATAGAATTTACCTGAGTTCATAACAATACTCCTTGTTGGTAATGCTGTCTACTGATGATGTCTATTCCTGATTCATCCTCTCTTTTTTGTGCTAATTTTCTTAATTGCTGTCTTATCCAAGAAATTACCAAACACTTTGATGTATATAAACACTCCACTCATGAATAAATATACATCCCACATACATCGCTATAATTGTTAAAATATTGGCAAGTTATTGCACTTCTTTGCGCGATTCTCATCACTATAAATTATAATTTGTAAATACACTTGATACTGCTTACACAATGGCATTAACTTTGTTGATTATATTTAACTGCAGCCCTGACGAGGTACAAGAAGTTACAGAGTTGAATTGATGGCCACATTAATAGTTATCTTATAAAACAAAACCATTCGAACTAAACCCAATTTTTGCCTTTATTAAGTGATTGGTGAATTCAAAAGTCCAATTTGTGTTTGTGTTCAAGAGAACAGCAGAACAATTTCCTGTCAATAGAAATATTGGTATCATTTCCAGAAACCTAAATCGAAAAGAATTTCTTTTGAATTGAAGGACTGTATGACGAGGGCAAGCGTAACCAGTGGCTTTGGCGTTTTGTACGCGTGCAACTTGGCGCATTACCACCATATCACAGGCATGCGCAAAATGTGTGCGCTAGATACGCGCCTCCAAAGTGCTAGCTGTACGGAGCTGGATTCAAGCTTTTCGTAAAGAGGTAGTTTGGAAAAGTGCCTGTAAATTTTCAACAAATTTCTTATTCAAAATGTTCCTTTCATCTGTTTTTAGATCAAATTAATCAGTTATCACTTAAATTCAGTAGAATCTGTGGGAGACGTTTTATAAAACAAATATGACTACATGTACTTATCTTGTGGTGTAGGTTGCCTGTATCCATGGAACATTATATTTACCCTCTGCTTCGCCTTAGGTGATAGTATTTTCTAAGGATCACTTCAAGCGGCTAGTTTTACTGCATCACTTTAAGCTGTCAGTGTTTGTGTAACATGAACCTCTAAATTGGAAGAACTTGGTATACTAATGCATAGATAATTTACGCCTGTAACCTTTCAAGGACGAAATTAAATACATGCAGCTTCTACTGAATTGCATTACAAGGTAGCAGCAGACACCATTGTTATTTCCTACCAAGGGGCATATTTAAATACAACAACTTCAGTATTTCTACCTTATAGAGTGTCTTCGTTTGAGAGTCGGGATGCAAATCAGTTTATCCCTTTTTGGGGGGGAGGGTCTCCTTTCTTCGTTGAGAAGTGACTACATAATTGTAGAATCTCGTGTTTTCTGAAAGATTTTGCTAATTAGGTACCTGTTTTCAGGATATTTCAGCTATCAAGCACCTGTCTCTTCTAAAGGTGTCCCCTCGTTGGCAGAACTTTCGCCGACATTCTTTGGGTGGTGCATTTCCACGAATAAGAAGTAAAAGTTGGCCCCGCACAGCCCCCCTAGTAGCGGTACAAAGGTTGGCACCCACCACCAGTGCATTCCATGAGGCCTGAAAGAGTAGGGTTTGGCATTTTATACGGAGTTTAGTGTTTTATGTGTTTGTTGTCAACCCTCCAGTCCCGATTAAATTCAGGTGACAGCGAGCTTTGGCTTTAAGGTCACTGTTTGTGTTTGCTATGCATGGCGTCACTTCCATTAGCGATGAAATTCAGGTAATAGTGAGCTTTGGCCTTTAGGTCACTGTTTCATGTTTATTATATCACATCCACTGACGATGAAATTCATGTAATAGGCCAAGTATATCAGTCTTTGAGAGTTTTCTCTAGAGTGTAGGCAGCTGACTTCATTGACCGACATCGGGGAAACTAATAACCTCCTTCCGAACACCAGAGTTGGAGTCGAGTCCACGACCTCCAAGGCTGAGTCTGAGGTCTCCAAGGCCAAGACTGATCGAGTCTCTGCCATTCAAGGCTAGAGTGGCCAAGGCCGAGACCAAAGTCAGTTACGTGTATTACACACATGCATGTGTAGCATAACCTTACACGATCGAAGGTGAGTTTCTCTAATATATCACCGTTGGCAGGACGCGTTTGAGGAAAGATAAAAGCTGGGAAAACTGAAACAAAACGGGAGGCCCGGAACCAGCCTCCACTCTTTCTTCAAGTCAAAACGGTGCCGAGGCTAAGACCAAGTCATTACTTAGCGAAGCGAAGGCTTTAAAAAATCGGCCTCCAGGTCAAGGCCTCGAACAATGCTGAAATTTTATTTTCCTCAAGTACAGTTCTGACAAAGAAACAACACAACAAGTTGGGCTGCATCAATGGAGGTGCAACAAAGATGTACGAAGGTATGCATACAACAGGAGACTGGAAACAAGTTGAGCATGCGGAGGAAGGGCCTCGGCCGTACACCTGATCACACTATCACCGCTGCATGTTAACAAGCCAGGCTTCTCACAGAGAATAGCCCGTTTAGAACGGACCCAAAATATATTACGGTATTATCCGAGTAAAGCAACAGCTTTGTCCACAATTGAGATTGCGGACACAAGAAGATTGGTTGAGCGGGCTTTCGCACAGTTGTGGGGAAGGGAAAGGATTAACATGTTGTGGATGTGGTTAGTTTAAATCACAGAGGTTATTTTCTCTTTATTGTTTCTTTTTTAAGTTCTTTCTTGCTGGAAAAGATCAATTTTGAAAGGCTATTATATTAACTGCCCAAATCTGTAGCCGTGAAGTATATTTTGGGGACAAAAGCTCACCTCAACGCGTTCTCAATCAGGTAATACCGTAATACGAGGCCCGCTCCAAGCCTTGTTTGTTAACAGCGGTAGATCATCCGATCGGCTGTGAGAATTCCGTGAAAGCGATCTCCGGAATATTCCTATGGTCGTTCATGTCTGATAGCAGCACACTTGAAATAACTGCCAAAAATAATGACAAGGAGTTGTTAAAAACCAAGGACAAACACATAAACTTACTGCCACACATCAGCTCCGTATCCGACCTGCCAGGACAGCAACCGACCGGCCAAGTCCCTGGCTGGATTCATGGGCGCTCCAGCGTTGTGTCCCCATGCCAGAATGATAACTGCCACGGACAGACCCACAAAGAACGGCTCCATCCCTTTAGTCGGTTTACCATTTCGCTCGTCGAAAAACATCAGGGTGCAGTGCAGCAAGAGACCGGTGTTAATAATCTATTGATGATTAACATCTTGCAATGCTCAATTCAAAAGTTCAAATTTGAAACAGTGAAAAACCTCGTCTGGGTAAGTTCATGAGTTGTCGTGCGTGGTCTTATTTTTGAAAGGTTTTTCACATGTACAAGAAATGAAATCTATCCCAGACGTGCCAACATGCCGTATTCCTTCAGGAGGTCAGGCATTACCACACAATATATCAGAAATTTTGAATGAACTATAGTGTGGCGATGCCTGACCTCCCTCAGGAAGGAGAAGGGCGAGGTTGGCAGGTCTGCTATCCCCGTGATTTGTGTAAGCACTTTTAATGGGTCATTTTTATGTTAACAAACAGTACGGTCAATTACAAACAATGGGTCCGCTTTCTACAGTTCAAGAGCAAATTCACGAAAACACCGCAGGCTGTTCCCCCCCTTCTTTTTTATTAAAACAAAAAGTGAGCCAGTTAACGCGAAGTATAACGTGACACTTGCCTGTTCAGCGAGACCTACCCAGAGCCCAAAGTATGGCTGCGGATAGGTGCAGAAGATCCCTCCTGTCCCAGTAGGTCCAAAAACTGTCCGGTTCCCGTTGTCAAAATGATCCAGCCCAGCTATAAAACCCAAGACAATTAAGGTAGAAAGCAAAACTGTACTACCAAACGTTGGCCTGTATTCATAGATCAGTTTTTATACACTGCAGAGTCTGTGCCTGTGGAATCAGATTCAAACGGTCTTCAGAGTTTTCTTAGTCTCCACCCTTTTACCCTGGATGGTCATATGATACAAACCAAAGACTGCGCAAGTCACTGATTCAAGCTCACGACATACAGTGGGGGCCTGGAGGGTTTTTCTTTCAACTTTCTCAACTTCTTTTCTCGACACCACAACATTATTCACTTTTTTTTAAGGTGTTTCAAATTTTCTAGCCTGCATCTCAGAAGTGTTGCACGATTTTTTTGACAGGTTCGTTGAATGGGTCCATGTTAAAGATTCAGCATGCTCAAAGACTTCTGTAAAACTGCCCCAAAAGCCGACAAATGTCCGGGTACCTGTCTTGGATTCAAATTAATTAACACAGTTTGGTGCACCGGTGGCTGGTCCTGATGCATGCAACTGTATTGGCTGTCGCAACCGTGTGAACAGTATAGCCTAATGACGTAGATTTGGAATTGTCTTGAGGGAAGCGGGGCTTCAGCTCTCATGCAAGCCTTCCTTTGTAGATCCACCACTGCAGAATGTCGATTGCTGAATGTTCTTTACTGTTCACTACATTTCGAAATATAACCCTTAAGAAGCCCTACACACTTACAGAAGGTGGATGGCTGAATGTTCTTTACTGTTCACTACATATCGAAATATAACCCTTAAGAAGCCCCACGCACTTACGGTAGTATATCCCATACACCACATATGCTGCGACGAATGCGCCGATGAATTGAGCTGCTATCCAGAGTGGGGCCCGTCGCCACGCAAACTTGCCAACCGATGCCAGGCCCACAGTAATTGATGGATTCACGTGGCCTCCTGCAAAGCCATTGTATGAAAAGACTCCAGTTAAGCTGCACACAAGTTATTTTTTTAATATCTTATTTGATTCTCAGCGAGCCTGAGCTCAGTGGCCGAGTAGTAAGATGGACGAAACAGTGTTGCAGTCGAGATCTTTTCCGAGTTGGCAAATATACTTGGAAGACGTTGGTCAGTTACTTTAAGATGGAACACGTGTGTTTTAGCACAAAAATGACGGGTTTTAGAGAAGGATACAAATATTTAAGAAAAGACTTACATGTTCTTTCTAATAAATGGCCATTGTCGGTGTACTTTTTTCTACAAAGACTCGGACTCAATCGTAATCATAATCACTAGTATACCCTGAAATACTATAAAGTTTTTACATATTTAATGGGGACAGAAATAGCCCACACTAAAACACTGGTGTGAAAAGTTATCGCGAGCAAACGGGGCTGAACAAACTGCCGTCTATCAAGGGCAATGTCTTCCCTTCAGAATTGCAATGTTTACAAGCTTACAGTCATTTACAAAAGTTTAGGACCACCCATACAAAATGTACTAACCTGAGGAAAAACCGAACTTGAACCAATCAATCACGGCAACTTATGTTTACTTTGTTTACTGTTAATGTGTAACCTGAGTATCTATTTAACTACATTTCCATGCTTTGAAATGTTAACAGTCTAATATTTAATGTGCCCTCATTTATTTCTGATTACTTAGACCGGCTTTTTACCCATGCTGCCTTGAAGGCAAAATGTCGTACAAGACTTGCCTTTGCAAAAAAAGTCATTCCAATGGGTATATAGCACTACACTGACGTTATGCACCACTCGAAAATATGTTAAATAATCACTCAATGAGACAATGCAATGCAGACCCAGTGACAGAAATACCAATAAAAACCACAGGCGGTTTTAAATTTTTTGCAAATAACTACAGCTCAGAAGTTCATTTTAACGCCATTCACTGTTATTGACATGTGAAATCGTGAAGTCACATAATAACAATTTTGAACAGAATTTGCTCGACACGTACCCAACAGTTTCCTTTCTATTCGACTTCACCACTTTTTTGGTCCTTTTGTGCTCCTTCAGTCTTCGAATACATGGGAATAAAAAAGTGTACACCTCCACCTTTCACCTAACAGCTACTGCTGGAGCCTCTTATGGTGTTTAGGCCAACAACAAAATCTTGAGCTCACTCGAATTCAGCTTTTTGTATCGTTTACAACTATATGATGGTCTTCTGTTCGTCGGTCTGCCTTTTATATGTTAGTCCCCGTGTCACATCCGACCACAGCCTATATATACTCGTGCGAAGAGTGCACCCACCTGACACCCCTACACCAGTGTAGATCCCAAATGCCACGCCCATGCCTGAGGTCAGCGCGGTGGAGACACGTGTGCCGGATGTGTAGCCGCTCACTGCGGCTTGGGCTAATCCGCCATCCACGAATAACTGTGACACCGTAAGAAGAGCAATTAGTGATGTGGAACACTGAGCGGAATTTTTGCTGCTGCATTCAGTGAGGAGACGAGGCTGGGATACCTATGCAAGATTTTCGTTTACAGGAAGACTCTACGGGATAACTGGTTTTCGTGACAGCAATCACACGCCCCCGTCACTCGTGAAATTGAAAGTAAAATCGGAGGTAACACAAATTGAACTCGGACAGCTTATGACCAAGGGCGTAGCCAAGGGTGTGGGGGCGGCGACCCCCAATAATTAATTCCAGTCGGTAAATAGAGTTTCGGTCGGCAAATGAATCCACAATTAGTACATAAAAGATAGGCCTATACGTTGACCGTCAGCATTTCCCCTGAAGCATGAAAATACAAGGATCACTTTGTGAATTTTACAAGACACGAGGTTGGAAAACATGTTTAACAAGTCGGCAAGTTGACCCCAGAGAAAAGAAAATGTCTTCGTTGCGCCACTGTTTGTGACTTGAGAGTTGGTGGCTTGTAATTGAGATGGACTTGTGTGTGAGAATTCATAAGGACTTGACTACATCCTTAAAATTGTTTGCAAAAAGGATGCTGAAGGCCCGGGGAACATTGTGAAGACCATGTGCACAGTGCATCAAAGTGGAGCACAGAGCAGCTATATGAAACAAGCAATACGTGCTACGAAATCGTGTCGACATACAGTCACGGCTAGTTGTTCACGGTTTTTTAAATGGGGGAAATGAAGATGGATATATGCGCACTGGTGTCGTACATTTACATTCCTAGTTTAATAAACATCTACCGTCTACTTACAACAAGTATGAAGGTTCCGGCCATCTCAGCGAGAATTCCACGTGCCAAGTTACTTTTAATGGCTAAATGCCTACGTATCGAATCGCAGACTGGCATGACGGCTCCGAGTGACCCGGTTGGGTGTCCAGTGCAGACCGTGACAGCGAACCACTGACAAGAGACGGGGAAGGCGGGCCTGTCGGGGTTCGATGATCTTCTGCCGCGGCGCCGTGTACCCTTTCTACATGTACACTGGCCGCTATATTCTGAGCGATAATAAAAGATTGACGGAATAGGGTCTGCAGATTTTACGTCACAGTCGTGTTTTTACAACGAGTGGCTGTTAAAACTATGGCCAGACCTCAGTACAAAAGTAGCTGAATAATTCATGGTGTTGAAAATGCAATGCAATTATCAAAACACCAAGTGAAACTCAACGTATTACATTATTACATACTAAATGAAAATACAACCCTATAGAGGGACCCCAATACGACGCTTTTAGCGTCGATCTGCGCACTTCCGCGTTTGAAAACGAGGCTGTATGTGTCTGCTTCAATTCTTAATACGATCAGACGATTGAAAGTAAGGAGTTAAGACACAAAATACATAAAGGTATGTTAAATTCAGACTTTTCAGGCTGCAAAATTTTGAGGAAGAGTCTTTCAGGATAACTCGACACGTAAAATTAAAAGAAAAAATAACGACAATTGACCGCCAACTAACGTACCTGCGATACTAACGTATCTTGTGCAGTGGGCGTGGTTCACTACCTGGAGTGGCGTCACTTTTACGAACCGGATACTCCATGTACTGTGTGGATTTCGCAGGCGGGCGCGACTAAGTTCAACACAGAGAGCCTCGGTTTTGATGCAGATATGCGCAGGCGGCGCTAATGTGAAATCCCTCTATTTAAACTTAATGAGACAAGTGTGCATTTTGAAAAAACTTCAGGTAAACTCGAAAACTAACCAATGGGTGGTTTTCTGCAATCGTTGGCTGCCGATAGGCAAAATGAGGGAGCTATATAAAAGCCATTTGTCAAAAAGTATTAACCCTGAAGACAAAGTGCATGGAAAGCGCTCCTTTAGACAAAAACCAAGCAATACACTGTACGTAAGTTTGAATAGTCTTTCACTTCATCCCCCTGCTGAGCAGTCCAAACAACTGTAACTTGTTTTAACTAGCCACCATTAACACCAATTGGGCATATTTGGCAGACATTTAAACATGAACTAATCTCGTGTACACAATTTCCCCTGTACTGGAGCTCACAATAGCACTGCGTTTGGATTGGGAGCGCAGAGAAAAAGATTTTCGTGTCTGCAAACGTTATTCGAATTAGTGCGTGGTCGCATTTCGAGCATATCTTAATGCGCTGCCCATCTCACCGAGTCATTGGGGAAGAGTGCTTTTATTGGATTACACGTAGGGTGGAAGATTATACAAGCGCAGCTCCAAGCTTAAAAATGATAATGAAATTGAAATGCTGTGGAAAGAAAAATTCTGTTCATTTTTCCCTTAGCGGATTACCACTACACGGTGCTCCATGTACCGACTTACATTATACCAGCAAAACTTATCGTATTCGATTCATTTTTTTTAATTAGATGCACATGTCCTATCGAGGAATCTACCGTAACATACTGTACATGCACATAAAGTATTACCCATCCAACCCTCAACATCGGATGAGTCAATCTACTCGTCGGTTCATTCTGTTGCTCAAAAGCTGCTGTGACCATAGAAGCAGTACTACGCACTTTACCTCGAAGAATAGGAAACCACGTCACAAAATGGGTGGGCAGTTTACTAGGCCTGAACACGACATCGAGTCAAAGTCGATGCAAACATGATGCAAACAAATGAATAAAATTCACAACTTAAACATGATGGCGATGCCTTCAATAGAAACAACACAATACGTTGGCTTCGCATGGCTTACTGGCGTGTGTTTCGCTTTGTGACAGCTGCGGGGCCGATTACCATGTGCTGTGCGTCCTGTGCATTCACTGCAGGTGTACATGTACACGGTAGTCAGTATGGATGCATTCACTTCAATAAAAGGGGCAAGAGACGTCGAACCCTGCTCTGTGTAACTCTCTATAAAAATAAACAGACATCCTTCCCCCTCAATGGCACTGTGGCGTGCGTACAGGTATAAAAAGCATTTATCCACATCACCAAACGCCAGTGTGAATTCTTGTCGTGCTTGCCCAGCGAGAATCTGGCAGCTAGCGCTATGATCACTATGCCTAGTCGTGGTCAGTGCGCTGCATAAATTTACAAACATTCGTCTAGCAAGGCCTAATACTTAGTGAGAGAAACAATCCTTCATTCTGTTGCATGAATCTTACCTTAGTTTTGACAGGGGTCCCGATTTGGCGTTATTCTATATATATATATCCAGCGCTGTAAATACAATGCCGGTAAAATTGCTATAAACACATACGCACACTTGGCAAAGTACGGGTGCCACTTATTAATGTCAGTATAAACACCTCTGACCCTGCACACAGCGTACATGCCTTAATTGGCCCCTCTTGGGGGCGTTTTCCAGATGAAGGCGCCGCTTGGGGCCAATCGGGGCAAAGGGAAGTTGGAAAAATGTGAAGTTCAAGCTTTGTCGTTTTACACAGAATCAGCTGATAGAGGCATAAGGTTTAGTTTTAGAGCAACAAAATGGTCGTTTATAGCGCTTCACCCCGGGCGAGGTATGCCCGAATCAATGTTTAAAAATAATTCAAGGACTTGATGATCAAACCGAAAAACTTCAAAGTAATCTTAGGAAACAATTTACTTTCAAGTTTCACTTATGCTCCACTTTACAGTTCCGAATGGGTTTTGCTTTTTCAGTGGCGGAGCCAGGTCTTGATTAGGGGTTGAAAATAATGTGAAGAAAGTATTCTGTATCCGCAGTGAAAGGTAATCGGGCTCATCAAGCGACTTTGTCGTACACGAGAACGCACCCTACTACTGATTATACAAACTCCCTTTGATGAACACTTCCAGGTTGACTTCCGATTCCATAGTTTCATGTAACTTTATGTGGTGGTTGTATGAATCGATGTCACTCTTATGAAGTTATACGAACCGGAAAAACAGGCCACCCCATTCCGTAAAATAGGGGCGGGGGGGCTAGACACCATCTTTTTATGAAGGCACTGTTAAAGTAGTAGTATAAGACAGTGCGTTTTTTTAGCTGAGGAAAGTGTCAGCGCGTAAGCAACGTGGTGTGTAAATTTTAGTGACACTTCTTAATTGTACCACATGCCTTTTGGGGGGACTCTGACCACTAACATGATTTTTAAAAAATGGTTTAAGCCAAAATCCGTTTATTGATTAACTTTTTAAAAATTTAAGTTTGAAATGAAATTTCCAAGCCTTCTTCAAAGCATTCACGGCCCCCAGTACGTAATATTGTACGATTTCCTTGTATACGGTTAAGCATACATTACTGAAGTTATGGATAATCCTTAAGATATCCTTGAGAATGATTTCTCACTCCGCTAGTCGATCATAAAAATGCCTTTTCAGCTTTTTGAACATACTGGACGTTTCAAGGTCCAGAACTTTTATTTCAATCGAAGTAATTTCGATATCTGAAATAAATTCAGTAGGCCTTTAATACCCTACTGTCCACGGTCTCAGTACTACAGGAATTCCGACTTCTTAAATCAACATTGGAAGGGACATGCTAATAACTTGAGCAATGAAATGAACCCGAAATTAATGGTTGGTGAATAATTGTCTTCTCCGTGTCGAAGGAGATCTTAGCGAACAGGGTTGGTGATGTCGGACCAAGATTAAGTTCTTCCTAGACTGAATCATTAGCCAATTTATCAACGTATAAATTTCCTGATAAAGAACTGAACCATTAAACCCCATCCATCGTGGTCTTCCAACCAATCTGCGACAGAGAAGCACGCAGGGGGCGGGGCTAACTGGAATGTCCGTTGTTGGAAACGTCATTGATAACCAGTAAGATTTTTTTATAAAGACCTCTGGGCTGGAATAATTTCTTATAAATATGCACCCGTACTTTTCCAGGAATGTTATGATTAATTTGTTTTTGTGCACAGCGCTAAAAGATAACCTTCAATTTTTTGTAAGGTACACAAGTGTGGTCATGTTTTGTCACTTAAAACCTACATTAATACATATAAATTGTAGCCATCAAAGAATCTAACTACCCATCTTACTGTTTGTTACCTGGCGTACCTTACATTTGTTTTTTAAAAAAGTTTACTTAAGAAAGTTCAATCATGCTACTCTACCTAAATAACATACTTCGTGTCAGGTAAAAGGTGAATTGTTGGAGACATGCGTGAGAGTAGCTGCAGTATGACTGTTCTTTTAATAATACTACTATTTACAGATTTGTGTTGCTAAACTTCCCGAAGTTTAAATCTGTTTGCATGAGGTCGGTACCGATCTGTGACTTAGGCATCAGTTTACTTAAATAAAAGCCAGGCAGTGATGGCAGCATTTTTCAGCTTTATTTGCAAATTGTTGAAAAAGGTATAATTTTATATATATGAAGTTCCGGCTTTCGAAGAAGAAACTGCTTAAGCCAAAGCAAACTATTTTTAATTGTCTTCAAGTCCTGGAGGGTAAAGTTGTGTAAGACACTCTAGAGAGAGTCGTCTTCCTCTCGGCGTTTCATCACAACATCTTCAGAAACAGCTACAATTGCAAGGAAACAGACCATAAAACGACGTTAATTTGATAAGCAAAGACAACATAATGAAATTAAACAGTTGCATGTGTTTGTTGAGTAATAATTAGTTATACGACTGAAGTAACATCTGGGCACTGTGGTTTGACTTGTTGCAAAATTGCGGACCTGAGTGACATAATCTGTAAGGGAAATTTTGTCTATTTCTCAAATGTCGGCAGGCCATTTGCTAGCTGGGGCCTAAGGTGGCGCCGCCTAAACCCCCCCCCCGGCAAGCAGCTGCTCCTTCCTTCCCCCTCGGTAAAAAGCATATGCATCAAAACTATCTCTTGCTCTTGGGATTTGCCCCCAGCGTGTACATGCCCAACCATGCCCAAAGCTGGCGGTGGGGCGAAATGTCGGTCTAGTTCTGCTTTGTGTTAAGGCTTGTGCTCTGTGACTTTTGGCCATGTGTTTCCATACCACAGCTCCATCCTTTCAAGGTTGGGCGGTTATGTTCTGAAACCCCTCCAGACCTCGTGTCAAAGACAACGTTGCATAAAGCCCGCTGGCAAAGCCCTGACAACACTGAAACATGGGGATTAGACAGTACGCTGGTTTTGACTGCAAAAAAGGCTTTATCGCAATATCAACTATGATCCCTTTGTTAATTACCATATGCATCCCCTTCGGTGATTGGCAATTCGTCTTCCGGGGTATGATGGGCCTCCACACAGAGAATGTACAACAGGGCGCCCAGTACCGCTCCAATGCAGGGCCCAACGATCGGCACCCACCACCAATGCATTCCGTTGGGGCTGTAACCCAGATGAGAATAACAGCCAAAGTATTAAAAAATAATTGGATTTAGCGGAGACAACTATAGTAATCACTGCAACCGCTTGGCTGGCCCAAGCGACCTTACGGGCACTGAGTTGAGCGAATCCCTTTCACAAAATTTCGGGAAGGAAATGCTGATGTTGCAAGACATTGTGGGCTGTTTTCTGCCCAGTATAAATGCACATCTAAACACCTCTCTTTTGCCTACGTCACTTGTACAGGTTTTGTTTTTACCATGGTTGGCAAAACTTTAGTTGGCCGTGAGTATAAAAAAACGAACAATTCATAAAGTGTGAAAACTTTTATCTAAATATTTTAAATACTTCTACCAAATGCTAGCAGAATGTTGCTGTCGTTTTAACACCGATGAATTGGAATATGCATTTTGAGGCAAAGTTGCTGCAAACCAACACTGGACATTCCGCAAATTTTGACCACCAATACAAAATGGTGGTCAAAATAAACGAGAAATCTATGATCTTCACGTCTATTCAACTCGCGTATCCCCCATACAAGGGAGCAGTGGCGGCGCTACGTAGTATCATGTAGGTGCAAATGCGCCCACTCATGAAAAGCCGCTTGCACCCACGGTTGCACCCACAAAACATTTTGTCAAATATTACGACAGGACGATCGACCTTTTCGGTTTACGACTCTGCATCATAACCCAGCAAAATGAAGATTCATTTGCACCCACACGATTCTGCCTTGCCCCACACTTGCACCCACAGCCACCGAGGGCTTGCGCCGCCACTGCAAGGGAGTCAACTCGCTTATTGTTCAGCCAGACTTTATCGAAAAAGAGCTCAAAGAAATTACGCTATGCAGCCAGAAAAAATAGCCCATCCTGATGCCCCATGGGTCTGGTGGGAACGAGCAAACGCTGTCGCAAGGTGTTACAATGATAAACGCCCATAAGTTAAATCCAAGAATATTATGGAATTCCACTCCCTTCCTTACGGCAAATATTGCAAGGAAACTTCCTTGTTAGTTCTCAGGACTTACACCCAAACATCAACGCCCCAACCAGCGCAGTAGGTGAAGAGTCTCGGCGGGAAGTCTCGCGCTGGATTGATGGCGTAGCCGCAGTTGAAACCGAAGCTCACACCGATTCCAAGCACGCTCAGACCAACCATGATGGCTGCCATACCGCTGGGTGCCCCGTCGTTCCTCTTGTCCGTGATGGCCAGCACACAGACCAGAAGCAGCCCCGTGGCAAAAATCTGAGGTCGTTGTTTGAAAAGACGAGTTAAATCTATACCAGCCAGGAGATTTTTTGACAAAAGTTGGCCTTTTCCTTGCTATGGGGTGTTCCAGGGCACGCCCCCTCCCCCGGGAAATATGGAATCAACGGTGCCAGAAAGTTCCAACTGAGGTTAACCGAACTTAATTACCAGAACTTTAAGTCCATTTTTCAAAAGTTGTACCCATTTGAACAATGTCATAAAATTTGTCAGCAGCTTAACAGACATGTAACTCCTCCCTCTCCCATCAACTAACAAATTGGAAGACTTCTTTATGAGAGACGAGGGATATGGGCGTGGTCACGGCCATGTGCAGAAAATCAAGGGTATAATATACGTACATTGCAATGAGCCAAGTCAGTGTTGGTGTTTTTTTCATTAAGGTAAGGTCATTTGAGAGCAAAGAATCTAACGTCACGCCAGTTCGAACATGAATTTGCGTGCGAGTGGGCGTATGGCCACACTGAGTAAAGGCGCCTTTCCACACGTACGTTTTTGAATGCGTTGTGTACACGATGTGTTCATGCGTTTCACTTTTACGGATAAAAAAATCGATTCCATCAAAACACAACGCGTCAAATCGCCCTGGGAGCAACTCGACGGATACGTAACCGTTGCGCACGTGAGAGACTAGCCGTGTTACACACTCGCCGTGTTACTCGCCGTGTGTAACACGGCTAGTCTCTCAGAAAAATTACCATAAAAATAACATAGGAGGACCAAGTTTCAAAATTCGGGTTGTACCCGTTGGTTAAGGGCGAAGCTCTGCTTTAATTGATGCCGGTTTCGTGGTTCACATTTCACGCTTCAATGAACAGCAGAAGTTTGAATTTTAAAAAATAAAAGTCTGTTGCGCACGGATATGTGAGGGTTAAAATGACATCTTCCAGACTGAACAAAACGTTTAAAAAGACTTTTTTCCTTGCATAAAATTTTCAAAAACGTAATTAATCCTTTAACCCCGTACAATCGACACAAAAAATAATCTTATTTCTGGGTGTATCATTACCAAGCAGAAAGGGGTTAATATTTCATACATTTCTCGATGAATTTTAACCCTCACACACCCGGGCACAACAGACTTTCATTTTCCAAAATTCAAATTTCATGTGCTCATTAAAGCGTGAAATGTGAACCAAGAAACTAGCATCAATCAAGGCAGAACAATACCCTTCACCAGCGGGAACAACCAGATTTTTGAAACTTGATCAGATGTCATTTATAAATTAATTTTTCTGAGAGTCTACTTTTTTCTGATACACCCTGTATAAATGTGACCCGCGGTGCCCTTCATGTTGTCGGACAGCTATACCAAACTGGCTCATTGCCGAATAATTATGCCGGTCTTTGGCGCAGAGGTATCTTTAAACTCGTTTCATGTGCGATCACTTGCAAGTGATATTTCCATCGGCAGCAAACCAGTTACACATTTCGGATTTACTACCACCCCTAGGGCCCTTTGTACAGAATCAGCCGTTGAGGTGAAAGTCTGACAATATTGATATGCGCATGCCCATTCTTCCTAACAGGTTTGCTCTGCACGTGGCTTTAAGTCAGGACATGCCCTTTTGACAAAACCCAAGTTTTATGTAATTGCATAGAGGAAAATTACCTGGTCTCCTAGGCCGCCCTGCAGTGAAAGGAAATCTTGGGGATAAGTGGCCCAGATGCCGGCAGTGCCTTTAGGACCTATTACCGTGCGATTGCCTCCATCATAAGCATTCAGTGCGTCTGCAACAATATGGACCAAATATTAAATCATTTTTAATGTCAAGGATATATAATATAAAACTGCTGCAAACTGCCTGCTGACTACAATGACCTTCAATACAGTCTCAAAATATAAAGGGCCTGATGACGTTTCGATCCTAGCAGAATCTTTCTCATAAATAATTTGTATAAACTCTATAAATCTTTTAACAGTACATTTACGTGTACTAAGCAGTGGGATGCAACTAAAACTCATTCATAATGTCACAGCGAGGCTATTTGTAAAGTGCTTAAATGCTAATTAAAAGCAGAGGAAGAGTGGGACTCTTGAAACGTCTGATGGGGAGTAGGCGTAGCTCTTCTTCAAAGAGATGCGCCGACGTCATATATTTGATCACTCAGGCACAATGAAATGAAAAGCAGTTACAGTTTTAGAGGTGGGAGGAAAACCCCAGAGGAATATTCTGGATAAAACCCACGGACTCAGGTAGGGATTGAAAACCCAATCCATATGTGGACCGGGCCGGGATTCGAACCCGGACCGCAGAGGTGGAAGGCGAGGAAAGAACCACTAACCCAATTCCCTAGCCTGTGCTAAATGCATTTCCCCGTGGGGCTCATTCCTCGCTGCTTGTTCCTCTCCAAAATATGCATTTCGATACTGCAATATGGGTATGACTTAGTGCAATGAAAGTTTTGTATTTAAACTTAGACCTGCTGGTTCCAATCCGGGAAGTGGAACCAGTGTAGGTGTCTGAGCACTTTTTACCTTGTTGGTTCACCTACGTTAACACGCTTTGATGTTCAAGCATCATACGGGCAGCATTGGTGGTGAAGTTCAGCACTTTCTCCGCTGGGGTGGTAAGTATATGTGGATCGGGGCCGGGGGGGGGGCTTTATTTTGTATAATTACCGAGGTAGACTCCGTAGAGACAAGCTGATGCGGCAAAAGAGCCGAGGAACTGGGCCAACACGTACATGGGAAGCTTGATCCAACTGAACTTGCCCACCACAGCCAGGGCTAAAGACACGGCCGGATTGATGTGGCCACCTGTGCATCATTCCAAGACAAAATTAGAAAGTAGGACAAAGATCAGTAACAGAAGTATCTAATCAGCACGTCGCTGTTATGCCGTATATGCCCAAGTTTATTTTTTCACATGACAAAATGAGGTAAAACAGACAGTTTGGAGTTAAAAGTGCGCATTTGGTGTTCAATGTGATAGCAAAACAACCCACTCACATGTGGAAAACAACGTGAAAATTAATCTGTTGTTTTAATTTCCAATCCCCAAATACTGTTAACCGAGTGAAGCGTAATTCTGCTTTCTGGGAGAAAATGAGCTGCTCTGTAAGAGAAGCTTCTGACTGTATCTGACTCGATAATCCATCAATACCGGAGATGTATATAGAGGGAGTATGTCAACTTCAGACTTTGGAACCAAAATGGCTGCTCATTATATGTTCAGCACAGCAGGTAGCTATTGTGTGCTAACTGCCCGTGCGCACTGACGCATAACCAGAAATTTCGGTTCCAACAATTGAGACATTCAAGTCGCAACTCTCTCTATAAACAGCTCTGATCGCAGTTAATAAGCAGCAAATGTATACTGAGTGACTTGCTACCACGTTACAAGTGTGTCGTGAGCACAGAATAAGGAAACATGTTTAAGGGAGGGTTGATTTATAGCCGGCTTTGGTGATGGTGGTTAATGAATCATACTGTTAAGTATGTTTTGAAGTTGATTTTGTTTGTTCAGAATTGTTTGGTTAAACGGTTAAGGACACGTGTCCAGGTGGGTGATTTGACTCTGAGTGCGCTTTATAATTAAAAAAAGTCGTTTTATTTCACGCCGAAAGTTTCTGCTTTCTAATTCGAGGGAGTTTACACTCATATCACCGGGTGTTTATACGATACTGACGCAATTAACGTAGCATATTCCTGTAAGGACAAAACCGAGTAACGAAGACAGATGATTTGGGTCACCTTGTCAATTAACTAGCCGTATTTACATGTATTTGTTTGCCTAAGAACCCCTGAGTTTAAGTAAGATGGATAACACTTCCGTATATATCCAATTTCGCCGCCTAGACAGTTAATAAATTACTCACATCCAACCCGAAATTACACCGGTATAACCACTATTATATTCTAGTCATATTCATACTGAACAAGCCCTCCAAAACAATCTTAGTGAAAACATTTAATCATGCAAAGATTCTCAAAACTTTAGCTTCCAAACCTAAGAAATGTGGGAAGAAAGCAGTACTTTCATTCTGGAAACGTCTGTGCCGATTTATCCCGCAATAGAAGAAATTTTTCGCAGCATCCATGTGCCTGGTAGCGCATCCAGGTTCTGGGTCCAGGGGTTGGATATGGAATTTTCTTCCTGAAAACAATGGTCCTTTTTTTTTCCTCGTTAAAAGAATCCATATCGCCTTGCCCCTAGAAAGGTGATTGTACCAGTTCGGATGACGTGTTCGTGCTTTCAAGTCCTTCGGGAAACACTACTGCGAGCCTTGCTCTCTTCCAGCACACTCTGGCGGACTTACCAGAGACTCCGGCCGACGCATACACGCCCATGGTAACTGCAACCCACCAGCCAACGTTGATGGAGAGGAATTCACCGGCAGCACTGCTGCTGAGGACGCTCTGCGCTACGTTGCCATCTCCAAAAACCTGCAAAGTCAAGAATGGAATCCTTCAATAAATGATTGTTGTACATGTACTTGGATTGAAAGTTTATCTCTGTCTCAAACTCTCCATCAGTGCCTACCTATCGTATATAGCGCTGTGAAGGTTGCACACCAGAAAATGAGGCCAAAACAAAAACATTTCTAGGCCCTATTTTTTCATAGGAATATATCGCTCAAGCAGTGAAGCGTATCTGTGAAAGATTGGTACAATACAACCCTAAATTGATTGCCTTTGCGATGAGGGGTCGCTTCAAAATGGTTCCAGGTCTACTTTTAAGGTGACCATATTGGGCTGTTTTGTCCAACGGTCGTTGGATAACCCCTCCATCCCCCCCCAAAAAAATGCGATCAGAAAGATGGTGTATCAGAATTGCTCTTGGTCTTGAGATATTTATCGTTTATTTATGGTCTGCATGCAAACAGGTCTTGCCCATAAGCAAATACTGTCTGTGGCTTAGTTTTACAGGAAAATCAAGTACCAGTTAACATTAAAAGCCCGTTTACAGGGTAAACGCCGACGAGAACACCTTCTTCTCATGGTTCATTTACAAACTGTGTAGAATTACGGCCCATAAATTCTTTCTCGAGATCATAGATCAATTTTATTATAAAAGCAAGTCACAGTTAACGTTTCAACTGACAAACAATCCTTGACGAGGACTGTAAATCACAAGTTCTTCAAATTAACCTTAATGACCCCCGCCCATTTTGACCCGCGACAGAGGAGCCAATCAACATAGTGATTATCGCAGAATGACAGAGTACAATCGGGCATTGCTACTGTTTGTGTTGTAACAAAGGTCGATATAAGGCAGCGTAGAGCGATGCATTGCTATGATAACAATGTTCTATGGGTCTCACAGTTTTTTCTGTGAAGTAGGGATAACCGGTTGGCAAAATCATAAATTGCAAGAAAAATTAAAACGTTCTCGTTTTGTTGGTAATGAGTTTATGATGAGGTGGTGTTACGGGCAAAATAAGGCCTTTTTAGCACGTTGGTGTAGTTGATGTAGGCCTACATCATAAATGTGTCCGTATCATGCAGTGGTGGCAAAGATATGATTATGTTTATGATTAAAAGGACGCAGCAAAGGTAAAGTGACCCCCATCATGATGAGAGCTGCAATGAACACTCTCGCATCTGCTACTGGTACTTTTGCTGCCATAAACCATGCGCAGCACGGAGCGCAAATATCACAGTCTGATTACTTCATTTTGCCATTCATAAGTTGTCTGCTGTCTTGATGCTATTTGTTCAAATTTTCAGTTGGCACTAATTAGAGGGTCGGTTAGAAATGAGAATCATAAAATCGTGGAGACCTTCATTGCTCACCAACGGTCATTTTACGAAACACATGTTTAGGTTTTCGTCCAGCGGCCGGGTGGGGCTTGACTTGGATTGATTTGATTTCTGTTTGATTTTGGAGGGAGAAATGTTTGTGCCAATGGGAACAATTTCAAAAAATAATGGTCAGGGCGATATCAACACATTTCAGTGCAGATTATCCGACCTGTTTTAATAAAAACAACGTGCATTTGCCAGTCCAAGGGTCGCTGGCTCACCGTCCAAATTTACTTTGTTATCAAGTCCAATATAAGGGTCACTTGACTGGGGCAATACTAAAGGGTGTATTTGAGTAGATAAAGCCCTGGTGTGATAACAGTATGCATAATATTCCATCACTGTACCTCTAAATTTCTTAAAACTAAGCTGAACAATTCTTGGAAGCATGCAGGGGAGCTCTACTTGCCCCAATATTTTGAACGAACAAACTTGAACATTTATACATCTGAGCCAGTCTACAGCAGCCTGCAATGACTTCATCAGTACGTATTGCGAACGTCTCCCAACTTGTCCCTATAGCAGGTGTTAAGTATACCTAGCCCTCCAATATATAGTCCTTTGGTTAAAAGGCTTTGTTCTGATAGCAAAATTGACAGCAAAGAAATATACATGTTCTTTTACATCGGTGATCAGCATGTAAAGGCCTTTACAGGTGGTTATTTTGAGTTTATAAAAACGCCAGGTAACGACAATCTTGACTGTGAGTCTGTCCTAAACTGTTATTTTTATCATATGGGCTGTTAGTTACAGGTGCAGTAGAGCCTACGCTCGCCCAAAATACCTGGTTTGAAATGAAAATGTAAAGAGATGCCTTTCAAGATCAACGAATATCTGAAAACCGAAGGTATAGTCTTGGTTATGGACGCAGAACGGGACATCGAAGTGCGTGTATTATTGGTGCAATGTGTATGTACAGAATTATACAAAATTTACCTACCATCAAAATAAACGTCCCCAGAAATTCTGCCAAGAATTCCCGCACCCACTGGTTCCTTATCCTGAGATGCCGCGTCCACACCATGATTGAAGTTCTCTTTCTTTCTCTGGAAAGCCAATGCTATGCGTCCAAATCGTTTTGTTTGGGGGAGGTTCAGCTTTTCCCTCCAGTTTTTACGCTCTTCAGGACAAGATTTGCCTTCGCCAATTGCTGGTACGAGGTCAAACCTCAGTCGTCATAGCATTCCAAGCATAGATCCTTTGAAGTAAATGTAAACTTTGCGTCCAGATCTCCACCCTGGCAGTTTGAGGGTCACGTAAACAGTATTCGGAGATGATGTTCAACTGGGCCTATGCGGTGTAGGTCCAAAATACATAGGATGATCCAGTATAATATTTTAAAGCAAGAAGTTTAGCCTCGCTCCGTGTCGTATTTGACCTCTAATCGTCAAGGTGACTCTCGATAGACCCTAGAGGGCCTGCACGTTGTTTGTTGTGTGGAAGGGAATGATTGTCAATGTGTGTTAACGGACCACTTTGATTTGGGTTGGTTGTTCTAACCAAACCCTCGCACCCTACAACCAACAGGTCGTGACATCGTGGCCCATACTGGCATAGCTGAATTCTGAAAGCAGATGTTACAAGCACAATTGTTTGAACAGCTAAGATATCCAGCGTTGTTTTGGACCAGTACAATGAGGCATAAATCCACTGAAAAGTATTAGAAGCCATTATAATTATGGGCCATCCTGCGCGCACGCAAGTGGTGCGCATGCGTTAGATTCCTCTCCAACCAATAGGGTGTCGTGACTTCAGTTGCCAAAGTTCATTCATGTAAGACATGTGCGTGAGTGCCGCGATGGCCCCGCAGGAATGGCGTCTCCTTGGGTTAATTGGTCTGTAGCCTGGGTACTGAATTCACACTCGCAAATACTATTTAAATGCATTCCTATACTGTTTGTCGTTATAATTCACTTATACAAATTCCCCTAAATATTCTGGCCCGTGTTTTGGATGTTTTCTCCGGTCATTTTCCCATTTTGAGGAGGTCAAGGTAGATCTTTGAAAACATACCCTATCCTGTATAGCCCAGCGTTGCAACTTGCTGATGCATCTACGGTAACATCGTCTTGAAACAAAGATATCACCATGTGGTTTTCATATTTTCAGTTTCCTTAACTGATTTTCAAAGTCACGTTTTCATTCGTACATCTGCATTCATTTTCTAGCAACCCCAAGCTTTGGCAGGAGTCACTCTCATGCCCTTTAGGGCAAACGATTTCCAAAATTTACAGTGTATCTTTCACAGCTGACGGGGTGCTTACATAATCTTCTTGTGTGAGTTAACGGGATGGCCGTGCGATGATATTGTACCTTTGTGCTTCGGTTACCTAATTTTCAATTTTTGGTTTGCTATTTCAATCTGTATTTTGGAGCCTTTCTTGGTTTTTAAACTACTGCCATTGTCCATGTTAATGGGAAAAACTGGGATTTCCTCTTAGGCACTGACACTTAATGTTGCATTTATTTGCGTGCAAAAATGCTGGATTATTTGATTATTTTGTTGTTATAAATGTCCACTTCTTTTTTAATTTATTGCTGTATACGTATGTGACAATATTTGAAGCCAGTGAGCAACCTTTTCTCCCAGAAATGGTTTCAAAGAGCAGAATTGGGATTCCAAATTTTGAACATGAAAACGTGAAGTGAATAGTGTCTTTCAAAGTTTACAGCAACAGTGCCTTTGTTGATAAGCCAGACCGGTAAAATGCTGTGTACACAAAAGTTAAAAGCGCCCTCTGTCTATCTGTAATCCCGATGCCAGTGTTGACTGTGGGGAAAGAAAAAAGCTCATCACCCTTCAGTATCCGATCTCTAATGCCTGTGAATTTGCCTGCATCGGGTCACGCAACTTTGTGGCAGTGGTGCCGGAATCTTGTGCTTTAATAAAATTGCTGAATAATAAAATAAAGCTGTCGGATAGCCCCATAATTGATGACTTTTTGCCCGGTCATGAAATCCGCCTGAGTGCAGACACACGCATGCACGTTTCAGAACATACAACTGTTCGTTCGTATTACGCGATAAACATGTACATGTCGTGCAATGACCGAAATTTCTCGAGCTTTCGAACAGGCTGTGACTTGTTGTGTCCCTAAAGATGACTACTGCAGCACCAGTTAGCGATATCAAACCACTACAGCCACCAGCTTCGGTATAATGTTGAGCATCTTTCACTTTGAGCCAGGGGAATGTGACACTCCCGCCAAGACTGACTCCTTTGGGTGAAGTAAACGAAAGTTGTGAACATTTTCTTCCTTAAAAGAGAGAGCAAAAGGGGGATGAATCTTTCGAGTCATTTCTTGCAGCCATCCACAGCATGATGAAACTTAATAGTGTAACTATCACAATGACTCTCAAGACTCCCTACCCAGAGTTTCCTCGGCATACGTGACCAGGAGGCACAGAAGATGTTACTGTAGACCAAGCTAACACTGGACCTGTGTGTGAACGTTTGCAAAACAGCAGAGAGAGCCACCATGCAAGGGAAAATACTTTGGCCGGAGTCATGGGCTTCGCCTTCCGTAAAGCTAGTCCGTGGATCGAGACAAGAATCGACCTTGAAATAGACTCCGTGGAAGTTAAGTGCTAAGAAATCACCACTTGCCAGCGATTAAAGCTACCCTCGTCTGCACCACCTGTGAAACGTGAGTGCAATTACTGTGGTTTCACACGTCATGAGAAAGACTGACTTTTCTAACCGACTCTAATGAAGAGACGGTGCATACCTTGCACGTTATAGCAGCAGTAGACGGATCACTCTCACAGCTAGCTGTAACTGGCTGCCACATTCTTTTCCAAGTGGACACAGGTTGCTGATCGACGTCAACACGCTGCATCAATGATTTTTCCGTGAAGAACAAGTGCGGCCCGCGAAAGTGCAGCTGGTCACGTACGAGTAATGACTCAAAAATCAGACCCCTAGGGGAGGCAGAAATATATCCGCACCAGTGAAGTACACAGTGCTATCTTTATGGTAATGCCAAACCATCTACACTGCTTGCTTGGCCTGAAAGCCCTGACCGACATGCACCTGACGACTGTGAATAAAGAAGATTCATTGATAGCTTGGCCATCCTTCATGTGGATCCAGAATTGAAACCACGTGCTCTATGTTGAAGTAAAGTTCCAGTGCCTTTAAAGGGGGTGTCCAATTCAAGCTGAACTTAACAACCAAGTCAGTCGGGTGTGCTCATCCCTGTCAAAGAGCCTACACAGTGGATAAGTCCGATGGCCGTGGTGCAAGAAGCCAGTGGCAAGCTCAGAATTTGCATTAATCCACAACAGCCGTCAAGCCCTCATGAGAGAAGTACTAGTTGCCCACTGTTGATGACGTGCTCCAAATGTTGCAAGATGCAAAAGCGTTCAGCAAGTTAGACGTGAAGGCAGCTTTTTGGCACGTCAGACAAGATGAGGAATCCAGCAAGCTTACCACCATGAGAACTCCATTTGGCCGATTTTGCTGGGCCAAGTTGACTTTGGGTTTTAATGTGAGGAGCAAACTTTCCACCGCAAACTTGTGGAAGCGGTGAGTCTTCACCATGATGGGGTCATATGAAATCTGAGGCCACAAAAGATAATGATGAGAAGCTGGTAAAGTTGTATCAGACATGCCAGGAACGAAACATCATCCTGAATGAAAACAAGAACGAAATCGGAAAGACAAAAACCCGAGTTCACGGACACTGTTTTACCGAAGAAGGAGTCAGAGTGGACGACTCCAAAGTTGAGGGAGTGCTGAAAATGCCAGCCCCAACAGACATTCAGGGCGTGAAACGTCTATGTGGAATGGTGAAGTACATGTATATGGCAAGATTTCTTCCTTTGATCTGGAACCAATCAGATCCCTGACTCGCTAGGATGATGAGTGGAACTGATGCCCTGCTTGCGAAAGAGTACTAGAGTACTAGAGAGTGTGAAACAAGAACTATCCAGTGTACCAGGGGCATTGCACTCCAAATTCACAGTAGCAAAGACAGTATTAGAGCCATTCTGCTACAAGACGGTAAACCTGTCAAATATGCATTTCGCTCACTATCCAGTAATGAACGCAACTGGGCGCAAATCAAAAAAGAACTACTGCCAGTGCTTGGACTTGAACGTTTTGGCCAGTACAGTGGTGATCGTACCAAATGATTACAAACCGGTCGCATCGCATCTACTCTCAACAAACCACTCTGTCAAGCACCCAAGCGTCTTCAAACCCTCCTGATGAGAGTTCATCGTTACGACATGGACTTCCACTTTCTTGGGGATCCCCGATACCCTATAAGCCGTGCTCACATCAATTCACCTGATCTGAGACCTTGCATCATGACAATTAACTTGGAAGAAGTAAGTCAGGGAGGCAACTGCACACAAAGAGTCACTTGCAACTGGCTGCTTGGCTGCTTGCCTGTTACAAAGTGCGAGTTATTAAATGAGGCGTGTCCGCACTATGACAAGAGGGATGTGCTTAGAATCACTAGAATGGAATCATTCTTAAGAGTGAAGCCATTCTGATTCCAAAAGGTTTAAGACAAGCCATTCTGAAGAGACAACACTCCACTCACATATGCTACAACAGTTTGATGCGAAGGACATTAAAGCAACTCGTGGACTCGGGTGAACCTTGCCAGGAACTGAGGCCAAGAAACCCCAGAGAAAAGCTGAAGCCACAGGATGATGGCAGTGGCCCAAGGGACAAAAGCCCATATGACATCGTGAAGGTCAAAGGTTACCAATTCTTGGTGACAAATTCAATTTCACAACCACAAGTACCCGGTTAATTTCTATGCTGACAAAGCAGTTTCCTCGTTTCGACATCCCTCGGGTGCTGGCATCTGACTAGGGCCCACAATTCAACGCTGGTGAGTTACAAAAGTTTTTGAAGGACTTGGAAATCCACCTTGTTTGGTCTTCCCCAGGATATTACAATGCCAATGAAAAGCTGAAATGTCTGTGAAAGTTGTCAAACATCTCATATTGAAAGCAAGGTTAAAGGTTACATAGTTATAATTCCAAATGTATGTATTCAAGATCCAGATTCTGTGTGTGACCGTCCCCTATGCGTGGATAATTTCGCAAAATACACTGCCATCGTGTGCAGGCTGGGAGCTTGTCTTGGGCTTGGCCTGGGCATAGCATGGGCTTCGCCTGGAGCCCAGGCTGAGGCTGGGTGTGAGTTGGGCTTTCCTGGGCATGGGCTAGGTTGTTAGCTTGGCCTGGGCTTGGCCTGTGGGTGTTGACTAATCCCGGGCTATTCGTGGACAAGGCCCGGGCTGGGTTACGACGGGGCCTGGGCTACACCTTGCCTTGCCTACTTCCGAGTTGGTCCTGGGTGTGAGTTGGGCTGGTCTGGGTGCGTTGTGACTGTTGGTTTGGCTTTGGCTTGGTTTGGCTTTGCTTGGCTTTGGTTTGGCTTGGCTTGGCCTGGCTTTTGCTTGGCCTGGGCCTTCGCCCAGGGTTTAACTTGGCCTGGTCCTGGGGCTTGGCTTAGGATAGCCTAAATGAGCCTGGGCGTTGGTCTGACTGTGCCAGGACCTCCTACTTTAACATAAAATGTCACATTTGGACGCCATCTTGTTCTTCAATTATGGGTTGAATGGCGACAAAAACGTATATCTCTTTTAATTAGCAAGCCTTGTATTGCACGTTTCTGGTTCCAGACTCAAAATTTGCCGCTTTCCACATATTGGGACACAAAATATCCGAGCGAATCAGCCCGATGGGACTAACATAGGGAAAAATTTCTGTATCGGAGATAATAGTTTCCTGGGAAAAAACTGGCATACCCTTGGGTAGAATCTCCGGTCTCACTCAACTGAGAATTTCTCCTAATAGCTGTACATTTTCTAATAGCTGTACACCCATGCCAAAACGACTTATGAAACGATTCTCGGAGGTTCAGAACGATGACCCCAATTATTGATACCAACGGCCAAGGAGTAGCGGGTGCCCCATCAGCCCTGTGAGGGGCCAAAAGAAGGCTCTATTTCCCTTGACAAATAGACAATCGAACCCTCAAGTCACGTCCCTTACAACCCCTTGAGACGTGAAGAAGGAGATTACCAGTATAATCATCCTCCCCACTCCCCACTTCAAGTGGGGAGGATGCACACCTGTAGCCCCCCCCCCAACGATTGGCAACTCTTGGGGACTTTCTTCATTTGCAACCAACGTGTTACCAGTGCATTGTCGCATATAGCGCCACCATGCAGTTGCTAGGTTCTTTCCATGTTCCTCCAAGATGTAATTTAGCACCAAGCAACCCAATTTCTTGACAATGTTGTCTCTAAATTGCATTCAGAGGGCAGATGAAAGGATCTTCTAGGGGTGCGTTGTGTTTTTAGGGGTTTTGCATGGAGCACAGTGTTCCAGAGTTGATGAAACCTCAGCTAAGCTAGGAGTGTAACATAAATTCAGTCCTCCAGTGCGCTCAACAAAGAACCGCCCTCAATATACACAACCAGGAAAGGCCCTACTTATGAACACAACTGCAGACCAAATGGTAAACAAAGACCGTCAGGGTTGACTGCCGCCAGCGTCACGACGGATCCAATCCGGCTATTGTGCGCTGTCTTCCCCGCGCACGCTTGGTCGCACACGGTTCAGCAGTTTCTGTCTCGTCCTCACTTTTGACACCGTTACCGTATACATTTTCCTGGATGAAATGGTCTTCCAGGACCTATTCAATCCGATTTCAAGTCTACAAATGTTACAAACACCGGGCAGGCATTATTAAAGTAAGGGCCCTGACTGTCTCCTGTGTGCGCGAGAGGGCACATGTGCGAAATTCTTGCTTAACGATCACTGTTTAAACGTACGACAGTTTCTGTTGATCCCGTCCATTCAAGGAGTTCAGCGTGGACTGGCCGTCTGCTGTGATTTTTAATGGCTGATGCCTCAACCTTCAAGGAGCTGACGGGTACGTCAAAATTTTCTTATCATAGCAAGCCTTAGTTATTATGAGTTGTGACTCCCCTAAAAAATATTATGCAAGTGCAGTTATGAATAAATACCATGTCTGCAGTAAGACTTGATTGAAGCTGAGTTGCCGATGGCTTTGGGTGTACATGGTCCATAGCAACCGTGTGTTCAGACGTGTTATGGTTCCATTCCTGACAGTAGGCTGTTACAGCTAAGTACAAACCACTGAGTCGTAAAAACACTCATTCTGTTCACTGTAGGGTGACCTTTGTCGAATCATAATGTGCTGCACCTCTTAATGAATATGTTTGTTATATTTTTAGGATATTTCAAAACTCTTCGGAATAACTGTGTCCAAAGATTAAGGATGTCATGTATTCTATAATTAACAAATGGCCTAATAAACAGTCCCATTCCTCATAACGCACCCCATCTTTGCTCATGTAAGCGGGACACGTTTTATCATGGAGGTCAAAATCTAGAATTAGTATGAGGTCCTTGTACTATTTTGAATATGTGTTGGCAACGGAAATTATTTGGCACGAACGTCTGTCCTTTGCAAATAACAAGGAGAACAAAGTTGAATGGTCTGAAATACTTCAAATCATGAATCTATAACAAGCTGAATATCCATGTATGAATAGAGAAATATTCCGAGCAGATCTCAAACCACAGCCAGTGTTGAATCCTCTGTTTTGTTTTGTTTTTACAATCTGTGCCGTCACCGGAGCAATGTTCAAGTAGGTCCTAAAACATTACCCTGCTATTTATCAAGAGTGTCAGCTTCCAAACATTGAAACTGTCATTCCTTCGGTTACATTTGAGTGCTTTAGTATTATTTTTTCATTTATTCCGCTGCCACATTTCGCAATTATTTTCCCATCACGATAAGTTTAGCCTTTGTATCCACGCCAGTCTTGCGCTAGATGATAACGTCCCATTTAATGCATGTTTGTTTAGCCGATATTTGAGTACACATATCTTGTTGACGAGCAACGGAATATCTGCTTTGCTTTGTCTTTGACAGTTGTGGCATACCTCGTCTGTGCGTAAGGCTCTGAATGGACAGAACTCTGCACCAAAGGTAAGGCATTTTATTTCAAGAGAAGTTTCGTCTTAGGTGCTTCCACAGACAAAAAATAGCACGGCCTTCATACCCTTCACTTGGGCCAGATTTCAGAGTGTTGCTGATCACGCAAATCAGCAACACGAACATGAGCCTTTAACATGAAAGAATATACATTTATAAAGTTAGGCCTCATGTTAAACACTACTTCCCTTTGTTAAAATGCGGTTCCATTTTCTGCTTGAAGTACTGTGTGAAAGTTACGCAGGTAATATGTGGTCTCCTGTAATTGAAATGCTCTTTGGATTTTAATGTTTTTGTGATGTCCAAATGTATAATACATCGCGGGGAATAGAAATGCGTACAGCAACAGGCTTTATTCAACGGATTTTGTGCTCATTTTTAATTGCTGAAAGCGGAACATCGACCAAATTTTATAATTTTCCAGAGTGGTAGCGCGTTATCATTTTACTCTCTATTCCTACTTCAATTTATACTGTCTTGACTCTGAAATATTTTACCATCAAATTAAAATTTTGGTTTTCTTCAAGTGAGGCCCATAGCAGAAACGTGTATATTTCTGTAACGTAAACTGAGCTTTACTGCAACAATGAGATGATCCTGTTTACCCACTAACGCAGCTCCTGCTTTAACAAAGATTCACAAAAACTCTTCTCTCAACCATATATGTGCATAAACAATTGTATTTGAACTGATCTGAAGTTATCCAAATCGTACACATCGAACTGTGAACGGAATACAGCTCTACGTAGGGGAGCAAAATTCGTTTTGTATTACGAAATATAATATCTGTTTATGTATGTCTCTCGCTGGACCAAAACTTGCAAGAATCTTGTAAGTGTAGTAGGTTTTCAGTTCTTGCCTGTGGACACAGACTGTGTTTTCAAAACACGAATTCGTCTGGCTGGAGTCCGTGAATTAAAGTGCCATTGATTTCCCTATTGATTTGGGGTTCTTTCTGTCAATGCCGGTTAATGGTTAGCAGCATTATTGATACCCAATTGTGTCTCGTCTTCTAGCCTCTAGACGCAATTCCAGATATTTTCACTGTCGTTAATTAATTCAACTCGCATTAATGAACATAAACAGAAGTGGAACACTTTTTGTCAGTGTTTTGAAAGAACAGTGAGCACACACGATTACTTGGTCGTTTGATTTCTTAATTTCTCACGGTATTCCGTCTTTCAATCATTTCTCCGCATTGCCAACCACGTTTTTTAATTAGACAAGAGTGGGAAATTTGTGATCGTAGTTATGAGTGCATAAATCACGCAAGTTGACTCTGCAAACAGTTTGCGTTGAAAGTGTCCTAGTTGACACGTGCTTTGTTGTATTCAGGGTTTTTTAAGCGACTGGTGTCCACACGTCTGTGGCCATTTTTCACTGTTAAGCCTAAATTTCACCATCATGTGAGCGGGATATCGATTCTGATTCCCCCCCCCCGCGGCTGTTTGTTTCCACTGTGTGACTTGTCACCTGGCGGAATGAAGTCAAAGGAGTGTGCAATGTCTTCAATGATTGTTGGAAATTGTTAAAGAAATTATCACTGTCCCCTCTTTCCACTTGGCAACCGGGTCAGAATTATCTGCACCCGGTTTTAAAACAGAATAGAATCCATCGATCTTTAAGAAAGCAAATGAAGGCCACAAGTACTGGAAAATATAATAACTTCGCTAACAAAGATAACACTGATGGACGCTATACTGTAGGCTGTGGTCAAACGAGATTGTCTACCACTGATTAAATTGGGTATATGTTCAGCATAAGCTTCATTCAAACAATTTGCAGTGTTTATTTGGCTGTGCTCAACTTTAGTGATGAAAACAAAAAGAGTAAAAGCCACTCTAAAGAGTGAAAACCACTCAAACAGTGAAATTTCCTCTCTGCCAAGGAGCCATATAAAGGACAACCCGAAAATGGACGACTCGAAAAAGATTGGTCCCTTATATGACTTCTCTTTAGAGTGATTTCCACTCGTTTAGGGTGGTTTTTCACTCTTTTAGAGTGGTTTTTACACTTTTCTAGAGGATTTATGAGGGACTCATTCTTTTAGAGAGCGAGTTTTCCAGTCTTTTGCCTTTATGGAGAGTTATGGACCCACGGGTGAAAACACAGCATGCTCATATAGCGTTGCGCCGAAGTTTAACGTCTTCATAATTATACCCGTTTATTTTCTCCATACTTAACCACCTGTTGTATAAGTACAAGTGTAGTCCTACGCGTGTATTCCGTGTCTTCCCATCACGCAGGAACTCAAATTTCTCAACCTTTCGATTCGTCATGTCAGAACCATTTTTATACTCGCATGACCAGACCGCAGAACACAGCGCTGTTTTATTCCTCCATGGTCTGATGAAGAGTCTAGTTTGACTAATCGTTTTAATCGTCATCCTTCCAGAAAGCTCAATGTAGTCCCTAAGTAATCCTCTTTGGGGTAAAAAAGAGCCCCTTGAAGCTATAGACTCTCCAGTTCTGTAAGCAATGCCTCGTCAGCTTACCGCCCCGGCTTATGGAAAACGGCTTACAGTCCATAACAAACGTGTCCGTTGCTGTGGTCGAAGGCTCTGTTTGTGTACGCAAGTATATGTCTTATAGGTTGTTAACGCCCGTATAGAAAAAAGGATTCCGGGTAGTCACAGCTGACATTTGAAGCAAGATATGGGACGGAGAGAACCCCCCTTTTGTGTTGGTCATTGTTTGATCGGAATCACAGAAATTCTTTACAGACTTCTGGGGGGGATGTGTTAGGTAACAATAGTCTACAGTGTGTATTGGACATGTGGGGGGGTACCCTCCGTCCCATATCTTGCCTGGTATAAAGGCTGATGCGAAATAAATGGGGTACAAAATAAGATCCAGTCATTAAATATGGAGGAACCGTGTCCCAGAATGCCCTCAACCCACACCACACGGTTCTGCCCTTGCATGGGTGTGTGGTTTGCTGCCACGATTTACGTTCGTTCTTTTTTGTTGAAATGGTTAATTAAAAAAGAATATAACACTCTCATAAAGTAAATAACTCCCACCCTCTGTGGGCAGAATCCTGATAAAAATCGGAAAATAACGTTCATTTTCTACAACAGATAATTCATCGGTGTGTTTCTGAAAAAGGTTTGTGTTGAACTAAATCTCCAAGCTTCAGGGAAATTCCTTTGTCCCTTTTACTAATGGTGTCAGCTGGCTTATATGTGCGTCCCTTTGAATTGATCCTTCTATATAGGTATCTAGGTATAAAATTTATTTCCACCGAATCCATCAACAACCGAATATTCAACCCAATGCTGCGGCTGGAAATTTCAATTCAGGATTTTCTTTCACACTCAAAATTCTCGTCAGCTGGGGTGAGAATTTAAGGAAGGTTCGCGGTACAAGAGCCCTCAATAAGAGGGATCGATATTGCTTAGGTGAGTTGTGATTCGGAAATTGGGATCTTTTTTGCAACAGGTGCAGTGGCCTGTCTCATTTGATTAGAGCCGCCCAGCATGCCACCGACGAATTAGTGTGTCTGCTATTTACAAGCTCTTTCCATTGTCCCATCGCCCTTATACGGAAATCTGTTCTCTCTCCTGTAAAGTGTGAACCTGATAATAAATGTGGATCTCTGTCAAGGCAGAGAAGCGATTAAATAGAACGCAATCCTGACGTTAGTTCTCCTTACACCCCACTCATTTGCCTAGAATCGTATACCTAAGGCAAAGATCATACATACTGTAGATTCTTGCTGATCTGAGATGACTTGTGTATGCATAGATATATGTGCATCACATACAAATTCTCGCACTTCGGTGCAGGCTATTCAATCAGTATCTCTGCACTCACTCACCCAGCTGAAGCCCAAACCAGTACTGGGGTATAGAACCCGGGAGGAGGGGTACGGAGAGTGAATGATATGTTCCTTCACTCTGAAACTCCCTGGGTCATATTGATCCCGAGCATGAACCGTGAGTTGCTATGTCCTTTTCCTGGTGAAAACCCACAATTTTCGGGTCTAAATTACCCGATAGCATTCATTTTGACCCGACTTCAACCTCTGGGTTACTTTGGCCGAGCAGATAGAGTGAGACAAATTTTCAAAAATCCCCAACATATACAAAATTGACAATTTTGCAGTCGTTCATTTCTGGACACCCTGAAGCCTGTCATGTAGGCCCCCTGCATGTAACTTCAAACATAGGTGGCTGAAGGCCCCTAGGATTTTTTATTTATTTCTTAACAAGTATACTACTCGGGTGAACGTATTGTTATTTTAAGGTTTCGTGCGATTCGTGATCACATTTTTGACATGAAATTTCCTGACCAAAAGGCTTAAAACATACATGTACATAGAATGCATCTCTGATGATAGACACCTTCCTTGAATATGTTATCACTATATTATGGTCGGGGTATGATTTGCAGGTTTAAGTCCGTAGAATGCTTACAAATTACAGCAACCCTGTCACACGTTTTGGTTGGTTTGGTTTTGGTTGACTGCAAAAACAGTTTGTGCCACTGATTTATCTGACAATGCGTGTACATATAGCATTTGAAAATAGAGAGACACGGCAAGCAAATGTATATTATGCTAAAAGGGACATCAAAGGCAGTCCCAGTCAACGGGCAACAATGTGACTTTAGGCCTTTTGTATCCTGCTGCCTCTCACCTACGTCAGACATTAAACACCGTTGCTAGTGAACCCCGAGAGCTGGGTAAATATTGTTTGCCGTGCCCATTCAAAGGGCTCCCTGCCTTTGCCAACAACGCTTCTTTCATTGACTTCTGCCGATTGTGGGTGCGTAAACACAACGGTCTTGAGTGCCAAATGATACCCAATTTTGTAGAATGTTTCCACACCCCGTAGCATTGACTTGTTTATGGTATCAACAGCCGAATGTGGGTCCCATAACGAGCTGGGTGATTGAGCAAAGAATTAGAATTCGCCAATTCACACAAACTGTTAGAATCACAAGTTATATAGATTCTAATCACATAAATTGCTGCGTATGTACAATACCCCCAACTTTTTCAAAACGTAAAATCCAAAGTCTGTTTGTTGACTGTTTACTTGCCTGAAGGGAGGGGCGTGCACTACCACCAAATAAATCCAACCCCTGCTAACAGGTTGCAGACCAGTAAATATTTAAACTGTCATAGACAACTGTGATAAATAATCTCACTTTAAGAAAAAATGGGAAAAGCAAACATTTAGTTATATATGTGATTTCCCATCTTTCATTTTCCAATCGATTTTAATGTTCTAATCGGGAACTTTTGGAGAGATTTCCATCAAAAGATGATCACCCCCTAAAAATAGACACGAAACCCACCACTATTTAGAAAATTGATGCCTACGCTCCAGTGGAGAAAAGTTTGAATCCCCATGTCCACATTTCAAACAAGCTGTCAGTCCTGTTGGTGGTATCCACCCTCTCTCCAAAGCTGACAAGCCTTCAGTTTACTACTTCGAGCCTACTTACCGACCTAGAGTCGTGGTTTCCAACATATATTGATCTTTATTACCTAGAGGGCTTTAGTTGTTCTAAGGCTGTTTCTTTAATGTTTCCTCTGCAGATGTCGATGCATCTTTTTCCACCAAGTGGCGATCAATGGGAGGCAATATGACCATCTGAGTGACACGGATGATATCCCACCATAACAGCAAGCTGAAGGGGGTCCAACTTCAAGCAAGATCACTTCAGAGGGATCCATGGACTAGAATTTGGAGTGGAGGAGCGGCCAGATGGAGATGTAGTGCCTCTCTAGTGATTATGCTTTCCTACATCTTGTCACGGTGATACCTCCATAGTTCTCAAAAGACATGCAGTAGCAGGATGGTCACCGAAAGAAATGGTTATCTGGTGATGACAGATTTTTCATTTCCTGAACTTTTCAGTATTCCAGACTGGAAAAATAAATCCAAGTTAGGTCATGAATGTTGGGGCCATGATGCCGCACGATAGCCGAAGCTTACCGGCTATCAGCCAGCGTCACGCCAGCACGCTACCGGTACTTAACGGTTCCCGGGGTGTTCTCGACCGGGGAAGCGCCTCTGGGTTTGTCGGTGCTGTGACGAGATTCACCAGCAGAGATTTTTCCTACGGGAGAGACAGCGTAGGGAAATCGAGCAGTAGCAGTGACAGTAGGGTATCTGACTACTCCGATCAGACACCCGCACAGGGTGTATCTCAGTCTTACGCTGGTGGCGAGCTGAGTCATCAGTACAACCACAAGGCCCAGTTCAACGCCGGAGGTTCAGAACAGTCACAACTCATGACTCACAACTTCCTACCACGTCTCGTTGACGACCAGGGTCTTCTGAGACCTTCCAACTCTGGCAAGGGGAGGGCTGCGTTCTCCTCCAGATCGCTGGAAATCTTACCCAGCCGGGATCTGATATCGGAAGAACTTCGGATGCGCACCATCTCCCTGCCAAGCCTGAGAAGTCGTCGTAAACATGAATGCAGGGCTAGAGTTGCCCTGTCGGACCGCGAGGAAGACAGTTACACCACCGAAGATTCCAGCGAAGCGGAGAGCCCCATTGTTGAAATTGATCCCTTCCCGAACGTCGGGGGGGACTCGTATCCCAGCAACTGGTTACTCCCCGACTTCCTGCCTCCCCACCTCAAACCGTGGACGCCAGGGGTGCGCAAGACCAAACCCAAGCGCAGTCACAGGAACGCGGAGGCAGAAAAGAAGAGGAAGGAGATGGAGGCTCTGGCGGCCAAAGAACACAAGCGGAAGGCCCAGAGCAAATCGCGTCATCCCCGGCGGCGCTCCGTTCGTAAAGACGCTTTCGCCCGGAAGAGTGAGAGTGAAGTGGCAAAACGCTACCCTGTCCGGAAGCAATTCGTTTACTCGGAGCTCGTGCAAGTCGAGCTGGAAAAACTCACTCCTAAGCGATTGCCGGGAGGCAAACTCAAACCCATCTATAACAGACGGACGCCAGAGGGCGACATTGACATCCCTAGAGAGCTCCACATTTCGCTGGATAGCTTATCCCTTAGACCCGGCGATGAACGAATCGATTTCTCAGACTCACCGGCAGCGATTAACAAAAGACGGAAACAAGAACTGCAAGCTTTGCTCGAAAGGAGAAAGAAAATACAGCGCCAGATGGTCCACAAAAAGAAGCGAAAAGTCCACTTTCTCCTTCCGGAAGAAGAGAAGCGCAAACACGAGGTCAGAGAGCAGGTCAACGCTGTAGACAGCTTCAACAACAAGCCTCGGTCTAGAAGTACTTCTCCCGGTCAAAGTTCAAACAGTGGCGTTGAGGAGGTTGCAAAGGAAGGTGATGATCAAATGGATGATGGGCAAGCAAATTCACCCGGCCAGTCAGGAAATCGCAATCCCGGTGACGTCATAACAGACGCAATTTATATCGAACAACGCGAGTACAGAAAAGATCGAACTAGTAACTGGGTGGCCAATCATATCACCCAGAATTTGCCCCAAACTCTTGACAATCAGGCTAGTAAAAATGACAATAACAGCATCCATGCAAATCAGAATTCACTTGCACCAGATCCCGAAAAGGTCAGTGAGCCCAGCCAAAGTCAGTCAAATTATGCTGCAAACAGCAGTTCAACCTTGCCTCCCGACCCATACATCTCCAGAGAGAGTGCCTACGACTCGGACGTCAACTCTAACCGACAGATGAAGGGAACACCTCCCAGCAACAATCGAAGCACATCGGCAGGGAAACGCAAGCTTCTCTCAGTGGACGACAACGTAGCACAGGCCGCTCAACTCAACCCTCTGCCAGGAATACAGCCCGACTCACCTCTCTCTCGGGACGACGGTGTCTTTGTGGATACTCAGCCCTCTGCGGATTCTGGTACGGTGCGAGAAATCAAGTTCCTCTCGGAGCGACTTCCGAGTATCATTATATCAGACACGTGACCCCATCAAAGGGCACATATAAGACCGGTAACGGTGTACTGAGGACATTCAGAATGACTTCTATTCTGTTAGAAATAAATATTGACGCTTAATAAAAACAAACCTGCCATTCCATCTGCCTGTATTTCGTCCTGCTCAAAGAAATTAACATGTCATGCAAATAATGTTTCCAAAGAAAGAGATTGAAACATCGTTCAAATATAGACCTAGAGTTCTTTAGACCTCAAACCTACTACATCTATACACTTTTCTCAAGCTATTGTTTACGAATTTTAGAAAGCTTTTATTTTTGAGTATTAAAGTGTAAATTGTCGATCCTGATATTTTTGTCTCAAATCATATGATAATATTTTTGAGTATTTGTGTTGGGGATCTTGGCATTACGTTTCAATTTAGATAACGAGAAGTTAGACGTTTCAATTTAGATAACAAGCAGATAGGAAGTAAAGATTTGCATAAAGCTGGAAGTTTCTGTTAATCTGTGTCCAAATTCACAACAATATAGCTTCAGCACGTCATTTTTTGAATAGTACTTCGGTTTGTGCAAGAAATGGGCGCCAGCAATGCTTCATTGTAGTATTTTCTTCATTTGAAACAAGGATTATCTTCATCTATATCACTGTAAGCAGAGAAGAAGTCACAAGTTATGACGCATAGCTGGACATTGAGTGATTTGCGCAGTGTTGTATTGGAGTCCATCAGAAGTCCCTGCAAGTCCCTCACTCTTAATAAGCCAGTTCACAAGCTATTCACGTGAATTGTGACAAAAGCTTTCTTTTGTCATTGTTCACCCTGTTAATTATTGCTTGCCTAGTGAAGGGACTTGTGACTTAACTCCAACACCAGAGTTGCAACAGCTTCAGATTTTGGAAACAAACTGGCTGGTCGTTATGAGTGCCTACAGAGAGCGTGGCTATTGTATACCAACTATTCCTGCGAAATGGTGCGTACACCTGCCACTTTGTTTATAACAATGGTGGTCGTGTGTCGCAGTTCTGTCCATTCACGGCTTTGCATGGATTGACAGAGCCAACGGCATTTCATTTGGGTGTTATGAATTGTTAATTGATATCAGTGTTGATTTTTTTCCCTTCATATGTGCCTTTTGCGTCAGAAAGTAAAAACATGTTTAAAGAATTATAAATTTCCAACAATTCTGTTTGACAATGTTACTTTATTTTTCAAACACCCCTCTGGCCAATTTATAGTATGGTCCTGTCGCGAGTAGTCATGAAGAATCGCCTTCTGTTTGCATAATAGTACTACGCAGACAGGCTCAGGCGTTGTACTACTTTAGTGAGATGACGGAGAACGAACTGAGCCAGTGGCGAGGGACATTTCGAAGTCATAGGGGTCTGATGCGTTGCGCTCTCACGTCGAGCTTTGAACCGACCTTTACTATTGAAACTTGAAACGTGTTAATTAAATACTTCTTTCTAATCAGTGTGCCATAACTATGATGTATGAGGTATTTGAAAATCAATAATAAAATAATTTGTTGATTGTCCAAATTAGCTCTCCGATGTTTTTGGAAGTTCCTGGGGGAACTGGTTTTCTAACTTCAAAATGCCCAAGGTAGCTGATATTGACTCTCCACCCGAAAAAATTACCCTACATGTATTAATAGTAACAACCCTTAGCCGTTTTTTTTTCAGTCTGCTTTGAGTAACGAAAAACATCGGAGAGACTTCCTCCTTTAATGTAAAAATTCCCCCACCACCGATAAGTTCATTGTTCTATACCTCAGGAATAATGTGGCAAATAAAACAATCCACCCTAAACTTCGAAGCAATTCTTTTTGGGGGGGTACTCCCCATTCCACTTACTCTTCATGTGTACAAGGTAGGCCTACTGACGGGATAGAGCGTTTGGTTTGGGAATTGAGGTCACCTGACCAGGCCCAACTTGATTATGCGCAGAATGGAGTGCTAGTCCGCCCCGAGTGGAACAAGCAACGACACCCCTGGAGTGGGAATTTACTGCGCGTGCAATGGCTAAAGGGTGCACCCCTAAAAATAAATTCCCACAAACACAAACGATAAATCCTGTTATTTCAAAATTATTTTATAATGCAACTATCACAGGTGTCCAAGCTGGACAGCAAAATGATGTTCCACGTGTCCTTTTTCATTTTTCTGTTCAATTGTTCGTGGTTTGACAGATGAATTTTTGAGAAATCTCACCCAAAGCAGACCGCCCCTGAATTGGAATAATTTTCATTACCTGAAAAAGGAGCCATTTTGGACATGCATCCCTCTGCAAAACGTCTAAATAGTGGCACATCTAACTTACTCAGCATTGGAAGCCCTGAGTCCGGGCCTGATGTTCAGTGCCAATATTCCTTCAATTTCCCAATTCCATGGTTAAAGAATAGTTTGAATGTATAAATTTTATTAATGAGCTCGACGGACATTTTTCTGGCCTACATATATTTGCGTGAGTTCACCCTAAAAATGGTTCCCCAACCTGTCTCTCGTTTGCCGATGAGGGTGCACTTCAACTTGGGGAGTTTTGTAGTTTCGAAAGTTTACACAAATCACAGCAAGAAGTTTGTAGTCGGGGTATTCGAGTTTTCCACAATGTCTTATTTGTGATCAATGTGTTGGACAAATTGAAGATTTTACATTTGGCAAGATAGTTAAAACAATGGTGTCAAGACGTCCGGATGTATACGTTAATTATATGTATTGTGTGTAACCTTCAAACATTACAAGTTTGCGCGTGCTTGACAACAAAATTGCAGAATAGCTCTTAGCCATTTGAAAATTGAAAGCAATGTTAACTTTTCATTTTGGGAGCCTGAGAGCAATAAAATAAAAATTCATTACAAATTGATAACAATCAGCAGTGACAAATAAAATATATGGTTCAACATATCTTAGATTTAAGACGCATATTTATAAACTGAAACGAGGCTTTCATACCAGTTGCCCATCACCATTCCGTGTAACGGATCACAATCTAGAAGAAAGATTCAGGAAACATGATAAAAAAAATGGTTTCCCCGAGAATAATGTCTTTTGCGCTGATATATATTACAAATTGTTTTTCATACCGCAGCGCTAGTTGGGGGCAAAGGGTCGGGGCCATTGCTGAGCAATTTGGGAATTGCAGATGGACAACGAACACGAAGTCTCCTGCTCCTTTTTTCTGATGGGATTGAAAAAGACAGTGTCCTTAGTATCCCAAAGTGGCCCATTGCCATTTGAAATTGTCACACATCTTCAATGGCATTATGATGCGAGTGTGTTTGCACGGTAATTCTGACAACCGGAAGAGAGGGAAGAGAAATATAACAATTGAATAATACTGTTCATTGTTCGACCACTTAAATTGCTCTTTCTAAATTTTGATCCTTAATTATCCAGAACAAAAAAGGCGAATGCGACAAGGTACTAGAACAGTTGCTATAAGCATTGACTTCAGACAGTGGCTCAGGAAGATGTTTGGAAACGTCGGAGGTACATGCACCCATATTTTTCCGACTAAATCAGCCATGAGATCCAAAGCTGAGACCTGATATAAGAGTCCACAGTTACAGATAGAGATAATACAGCAATTTTGAACCTGACTGATGAAAAGCCTTTTCTGTTAAGGGTCGAAACCATAAATAATCAATGCTAGAATCCTCAGACTTCTGCACTTTTGCAGAAAACTCAAGCTATCACGCGTTTCAGTGCAACCATTAAATACAATTTAGTGTTTTAAAATAGAGCATTTCTGCAGTACATTGTGAAACTGTTAGAGTCTACGTTAATATTCACACAGGGAAGAGTAAAATGAAAATTAAAAGGCGGCATTTGAACTTTGACCTTAGAAGTATTGTTTATTTCCCCAACGATGACGGATTTTGTTACAATACCTGTCTTTTGACATAAACACATATGAAATGGAATCTTGGCATATATGACAAGATTTCGAACTATAGGGCCTACACCAATTCAAATTTATAAGATTTTAAACTTTGCATGATGGATGCTAGACTAAGAGAATTTTTGCGGGTACATCATTGCGAAATCAATTTCAAGAGTGCATCTGACAAAACCCTGTGGGTTACGCTCGACGTTTCAACCAGGATGCACCTCTCGACAACCAGAACATCCTGGTTGAAACGTCGAGTTTACACCCACCGTTCTCTTCAGAATCACCACTCTCATAGAAGAGATTGCTTTCAAATGGAGAACTTGCAAACCTTCTCTCAATGAATTAAATTTTCGTTCATTTCTTTAGGGTAGATATTATGTTTCTGTAATCACTGCTTGCTGTTATCTTATATTTAAACTATTTAAGTTTATTTTTCACGTTAACATAGGCGACATCTTTTTCACAGCTACTATCGTGAATATCACCTACAATGGTATACATGAATTTACATATTTACAGCTCCGTTGAAAGTTCTACGAATTTATTTAAACCAAATCTTTGATCTTACTTGTCAATTACTGTTCGATGAGGTCTGATACATTTATCTTGTTCGTTATTTTTTATGTTTGATTTTCTCCTAAAATAGGACCAGAATGGAAAACAGAATTGGCATTGTACAGCTAATAGTGATCCGTATGATATATTTTCCTAAATATATTTCAATTTTAATTTTAATTTCTCTCGGAACACTCAACAATACCGACCTTATAGTTTTGCACCAAATACAATTAAGCTATCTTTATAGATGGAGTTTCTCTCGGAACACTCGACAATACCGACCTTATAGTTTTGCACCAAATACAATTAAGCTTTCTTTGTAGATGGAATTTCTCTCGGAACACTCGACAACACCGACCTTATAGTTTTGCACCAAATACAATTAAGCTATCTTTATAGATGGATTTTCTCTCCGAACACTCGACAATACCGACCTTATAGTTTTGCACCAAATACAATTAAGCTATCTTTATAGATGGAATTTCTCTCGAAACACTCCACATACCGACCTTATAGTTTTGCACCAAATACAATTAAGCTATCTTTATAGATGGAATTTCTCTCGGAATACTCGACAATACCGACCTTATAGTTTTGCACCAAATACAATTAAGTTATCTTTATAGATGGAATTTCTCTCGGAATACTCAACATACCGACCTTATAGTTTTGCACCAAATACAATTAAGCTATCTTTATAGATGGAATTTCTCTCGGAACACTCGACAACACCGACCTTAGTTTTTTGCACCAAATACAATTAAGCTTTCTTTATAGATGAAAATGTGCGACTTAAATGGACAATACCACTGGTACCACCTCCGAATTAATTTGGAAAGCAGGGAATGCCAAGGATGTACATGCGTTTAGTATGAAACCACTTGATACATGCACCGCACATAAAGGTAAGGTGGTCCTAAACTATTATAGTTATCGGGCGCACCCATGACAGCTTTCTATTCAGACATGAACATTTTCTGGAACTATAAGTGAAGAGGGATTAAGACATGGCTTTTTAATGCACACAGCGCCGCGCTGTCAAGTTGTGTTCTGAGCTGAGGATATTTCCTACATTTAACTGTAAATCGTCAAAAGGTACATTTGGAAAAGGGACATTTTTTTAACGACGGTGGGATAAACTTTGGAATTTTAGTAGGTGAAGGTCCCAGACTTGGTCCCAGTTCCATCAGCTGCACTGGCTTAAAGCTGAGTTGGAAATTGAGGGGATGGGGAAAGGGGGGGTTGACTTGCCTGGTCATGGAAAATTGAAAAGCGGGAAGGCAGCACCATGTATACTATACTGGGGGCGATGTTCGTGATAAAGATGTGCAACAGTAATATGTATCCATTCATGTAAAATCTTACACCACAATGGCATATTTAAGGCTTTTAAAATTACTTTCCCTTTTTAGTGATATTGCTAACATTTTAGTCGTCAGGAAATATTGTAAACTCATCACAAAAATGTGGGGGGACGATTCAATAGCCCATCCCCCACCTCATAAAGTGGGGGATATTTCCCCCTCCGGATTTGCACCCATGATCAGCTGAGACAAAAGCTGCTAAGGTGGCTATAGAATATGGGAGAGAGGTGGGAAACATGTCCGCGATCTGCCGGGCACAGCCTATGTAATACATCTTCAAGTTGACCTAACCTGACAGCTCGTGGTGGTATTCAGTTCACTCAAATTATTTTTCTTCGTACGTGTATGTTGTTTTTTTTTTGTTTATGAAAGTGACTCAAAACCGAAGTTTTTTGGTGACATTTCTTAACGAGGGGGGCAAGTCACCCGATCCGCACAATGCTGGGTTGCCAGTCACGATCACGTCAGTCAGTATGTGCATGCTACCTACAGGCAACGTAATATGCGCAATATCTTCAATCTGCAACGAGCATCTGCTTAGGTTAAGTGTCTTTAAGTATATCATTTGTGGCAAGTGGAGAGACCACGATTTAGCAGATCCACCCAGTGCTGTGTTGCATACAAGGATCAAGTCGGTCAGTGCGGGCATATCACCTACAGCTGAGGCAATGTACTCCATATCTTCAACCTCCAAAGAGCAACAGGTCAGGTCAAGCGTCTGTAAGCGCCGCATTTTCTGCAGGTGGCGCGACCACGATTTGGCTGATCCACCTAATGCTGTATTTTCTGCAAGGTTCAAGTCACTCAGCCTATGTATAGTACCTGTAGATGAGGCAATGTGCTCAATGTCTTTCCCCTCCAGTGAGCAGTTGCTCAAGTTCAGGGTCTGTATGTAAGTCACTTGCGGCATATGACGGGCCCACGTTTCGGTCGATCCTCCCAATGTTGTGTTGTTAGCCAGGATCAATAGGCCTACAGTCATTCTGGGCATCTTGGTTGCATATGAGGCAATGTGTTTGACAGCTGTCCCCATCAAGGAGCAACTGCTCAGGTTCAATGTCTTTATGTGTTGTATTTGCTGTAAATAGGGAGACCACAACTCAAAGGATCTGCCTAATGCTCTGTTACCAGCAAGGATTAAGTTGGCCAGTACAGGCACGTCACGTACTGAAGAGAAAATGTGTTCAACGTCTCTCCATACCAGTGCACACTTGCTTAGGTCAAGCGTCTCTATGTGCTCCATTTCCCTCAAGGAGCGAGCCCACAATCCTGCCAATCCGCCGAGCGCTGTGTTGCCTGCAAGAATCAAGTCAGTCAGTCCAGACATGTCTCTTACAGACCCTGAAATGTGTTGGACAGCTGTCCACCGCAATGAACAATTGCTGAGATTCAGCGTCTGGATGTGCCGCATATGCGGTAAGTGCTGCAACCACGAGTTGGTCAATCGGCTTAATGTTGTGTTGTCGCCAAGGATCAACTCTGCAAGTCTGGGCATGTCGCCTACTGACGAGGCAATATGTGTCATGTCTGTACTTTGGAGAGAGCAATTGCTTAGGTTCAGCGTCCTTAGATGCTTCATTCGCAGTAAGTAGTCGGACCATGAGTCAGCGGATCCACCCAAAGATTTGTTACCAGTGAGAATTAAGACAGTCAGTCCAGGCATGGTACCTACAGATAAGGCAATGTCTGCAATGTCTTTACTTTTGAGGAAGATGTTGCTTAAATTAAGCGTTCGCATTTGCTTCATTCGAAGGAAGTACCGGGACCATATGTCAGCTGATCCGCCCAAAGCTGCGTTGCCAGCAAAGATTAAGCCAGTTAGTCCTCACATATCACCTACAGATGAAGCTATGTGTGTAATGTCTTTACTCTGCAGTGAGCAATAGCTCACGTCCAACGTTTTCACTTGCGTCATTCGCGGCAAGTAGCGAGACCACGTGAGGGCGGATCCGCCCAGTGCTGTGTTGCCAGCAAGGATCAAGTCAGTCAATCTGAGCATGCTGCCTGCAGACGAAGCAATGTGCTCAACATCTGTGCACTGCAGTGAGCAGTTTGTCAAGTTCAGCAATTTTATGTGACGCATTTGTGACAGGGAATGAGACCACAAATCAGCTGTTCCACCCAATGCTGAGTTGCCCGAAAGGATCAAGTTGGCTAGCCGGGGATTATTTCCTGTATTTAAGGCAATGTGTTCAATGTCTTCAACTTGCAACAAACAATTGCTCAAGTTTAGCGTCTGTATGTACCGCATCTCTAGTATGTGATGTGACCACGATCTAGCCGACCCGCCTAGTGCTATGTTGCCGCCATGGATCAAGTTAGTCAGTTCGGGCATGGTACCTGTAGATGAGGCAATGTGGTGTACATCTACTCCTTCCAGTGAGCAATAGCCCAGGTTTAGCGTCTGTATGTGCGTCATTTGAGGCAAGTAGCCGGACCACTTTTCCGCCGATCCACCTAATGCTGTATTATCGACAAGGATCAAGTCCGTCAGTCCGGTCAAGTCAGCTACAGAGGATGCAATGTGTTCGACATCTGTCCATTGCAATGAGCAGCTGCTCAGGTTAAGCGTCTGCATGTGTCGCATTTGCTTTAAGAAGCGCAGCCACGAGTTGGAAGATCTGCCCAGTTCTTTATTATCAGCAAGGATCAAGCCAGTCAGTCCGGGCATGTCACTTAAAACCGAGGCAACGTGTTCAAAGGTGGTCATTTGAAAGGAGCAGCTACTGAGGTTCAGCGTCTCTATGTGGTGCATTTGTCGCAGGTAGCGCGACCACAATTTAGCCGATCTGCCTAGTGCTGGGTTGTCGGCAAGGATTAAGTCAGTCAGTCTTGGCATGTCACCTAAGGCCGCGGCAATGTGCTTAACAGCTTTCCATTCGAATGAACAATTGCTGAGGTTCAACATCTGTATGTAACTATATCTGGCAGATGGCACGACCACAAGTTAGCTGATCCGCCCAGTGCTGTGTTGTCAGCAAGGATCAAGTCTGTCAGTCTTGGCATGTCACCTACTGATGAGGCGATGTGTGCGATGTCTTCACTCTGCAGTGAGCAGTTGCTAAGATTAAGGGTTCGTATTTGCTTCATTTGCAGCAAGTACGAAGACCATGAATCGGCCGACCCACCCAAAGTTGTGTTGCCAGCAAGGATCAAGAGAGACAGTCCGGGCGTATCACTCACAGATGAGGCGACATGTGCAATGTCTTTACTCTGCATGGAGCACTTGCAGAGGTTCAGCGTCCGTACATGCTTCGAATTCATATGCCACACGACACTGAACGAGTGATCCGATCGGCCCAATGTCGTGTTGTCTGCGAAGATCAAGTCGGTTAGTCTGTGCAAGTCAGCTACAGACAGGACAATGTGTTCAACGTCCGTCCATTGCAATGAGCAGTTGCTTAGGTTCAGCGTATTTAGGTACGTAAGTCGTCGCAAGTGGCGGGACCACAGATCAGCCGATCCGCCCAGTGATGTGTTACCGGCAAGGATTAAGTCAGTCAGGTGGCGCATGCCGCCTACACACCAAGCAATGTGTTCAAGATCTGTACTCTGCAACGAGCAATTGCTGAGGTTCAGCGTCTGTAGGCGCGTCATTCGCGGTAAGTAGCGTGACCACGTGTGAGCCGATCCGCCCAATGCTGTGTTGCCTGTAAGAATAAAGTCAGTCAGTCCAACCTTACTCCCTACAGAAGAAGCAATGTGCTCAATGTCCGTGCCATGCAGACTGCAGCTTGTTAGTTCTAGCATGTTTAGTTTTGTTAAGTGCCTGACCAGGGGGCCCACGCCTCTGCTCGACCTCCAGATGTATTGTATTGTCGCCATCTACGCATAGTTTGGTCAGGACTTTGTTGTTTTTCAGAGACGACAAAATTTTCTGAAGATTCACTAAATGACCTCTTATAAGCTGCATGTCCGTGAGATTTTCCATGTAGCCAACGGCGATAGCTAATCCAGTGACCGAAGATGCCGCCGACACAGAAATTGTTCGGACGTGTGCTAGCTGCGCTGCGCAGTTGCCTGACCTACAGACGACTTCGAGCAGGTACACAAGACTGCGGAAATCATTACTGTTGCTCACATCGATTTTCGACGGGATATTTGAGTCGCTGGTGAGACAACGGGGAGCTTTGTTGGACTGGCTTTCAAAAAAGCAATTACGACTGATCGTTTGTATGATGCTTGATTGGTACTTGGGTTGATTTGGGTTCTTCTTGAAAGAACGGTCCAGATGGTTTATGATGACACTCATGCACTTCTCATTATCACCACAACAAAAACGAAAGAGAAACTCATTTGAAACAACGGCATTAATCGTGCAACAAAGGTGCTGCAAACTGTCAAGGAATTTTCCCCGCTGCACATGAAGCATACATAAAATACGCTTGAACACTCCCTGGTTTGATATGTGTAAACTCTGCAGATATTTCGCAGCGCAGTATTCCTGCATCGTCCTGTGCGTGAATTCTATGCTGTTGCGGGACTTTGCCGGTTTACGACGCCTGCCTTCAGTGCCAGGTCTAGCGCATTTGGTGCAAACTCGTCGACTTGAAATGAAAATTTCTGGTCAGTGTCCCTTAGTCTACGCAGCGCAGCTTCTCCTATTGTAATTAATACTCGTGCCACGTCCTCCTTAGATAGATCTGCTTTTCTTTCAAAAATGTAAGCAACTGCATCATCGAAAAGACGCGACGTTGTCTCTGGAAGCTTTTGACTTTCCCTCCACAATAAACACATCAGAAAGAGCAGCATTGGAATCTTGGCCAAATCGCTCAGTGCGTTTGAACTGCTGATGGCTTCAATTAATGCATTACCGTTGTCGATCCTGTTTTGGTGAAATTTGTGAACGTACACAACCTCTACGTGTGTGCGAGGATTTTGTACCAAAGACTTTGACATCAGTCTGTCGAGATGGGAGGGGCGGGTTGATACACAGAATCCCGGTATTTTGTTCTATTCAGGGCTTTAAGGATGGAACCAAACGAGGCTGCATCGAACGATTTGGTCCTCATTTCGTCAAAGCCGTCTAAAAGAATCAGGACCTCGTTTTTGTGTGCCAGAATGAATTGATCAATGTTCTTTCTTGATATTTCTGAATCTTCATCAAGGAGTTGATCAACGACTGCGCCATCCAGATCAGAATATTGGAATAGGGCGTACATCTTCAATGAAATGACAAGCTTGAATCTTTTGAGCTCTTTACTTATCTGATCGGCCCAGTCGTATGCAATCTTATCGAAAATGGTAGACTTTCCAACACCACCTGTGCCAACAAATATTAGTCGTTTGATAAGATCCCCACTTCTGGTCTTTGTTCCAAAAATTTGACCATACTCAGTGGAACTTATGATTTGTATCCTTCCCTGGTCTCTACTTGTAATAACGACTACTCCGTCTCGTGTTCTTAATAGCACTTTGGTGTATATCCCCGCAATATGCATTTGATCATCATCAACCCTTAGCATTAACTGCACATAACTACCCGTTGTCTTGTACACTTCCTTCAGTGCTTCCATGATCTTATTTCCGATCTCTAGCAGGGAGTCCCTCAACTTCAGCTCATGGTCTGGTCCTCGTTCACAGTGAGTACTTGTTGGATTAATTCCTTCTGCATGAGATGAAACAAGAAAAGTGTGAAACAAGGAAAGTGTATTTTTTTTACTAAATCAGTCGAAAACACTGGCGATTCACAATAGTGCGCCTCCAAGTGTTTGCAACGCGTTGACCAATCACAATGTGCGAAATCTGTCGACCCAATGCGCGTTCGGAAAGGGTCGACAGATTTCGCGCATTGTGATTGGTCAACGTGTAACAAACTCTTGGAGGCGCACTATTGTGAAATGCCGGTATTGGTAACTTTGAAATCACATACTCCCTTTGTTGATATGGAGCTCTCTCAAAACGCAACGCAAGCTAATGTTTCCCCAGAGAGCGAGAGTTTTAAAAGTCCGTATCCGGAGCTTGGAGACACAAGGGCTCGTTTGTGTATATTTGTGGTCTTTGTTTCTAATTCACTAAATGATTTAAAGTATACCGGTGATAATATAGCATCCCACCTATTTTTTCTCTCTCTGTTGGGGGAAACGGAGCATATTTTCTGTGCCTTTTTTCCGTACTTCATCAGTCACCTTTTTGGTTCTTATTTATTACAACTGATGACAAAGAGTCCTTGTCTGTACCGTTGTTCCACAAGACCATGCATGATCTACGGAATTCCATATCTGCCGCCGCCCGTCGCGCGTCGCCCGTCGTGCGTGTTTTTTTTCACGCTTGCGCAGTTTAACTTTGACACTTGATCGTTTCACACATGTACTTGTTCGATCGATTCACCATGCCTGCTTCTCATTTTAGCAGTAGAACTAGAAAATGTATTCGTTTATGCAGTTGCGCCGAACTCCACTTGAAAGAAGAAATAATATCCTTTCATTTTTAAAGACTGGCATCGGTAAAGTGACGTGTATATGAAATAATACCATTTTTTGGTTACATAAATAAATTTAAAAAATAGACTTTTGTTAGGGTAGATTGTTTTTCTCGATACCTTAGTTATTCTAGACGTAACTTTACTCTTTAACGGCCTGACGTTAGCGTCTATAGCCTATGTAATATTTCTGTCTGTCCCTGCACGATATCCCACAGAACGGAATGTAAATAATAAATTATTAACAATGTTTGATTCCTTAGTAGTTTTCATAAGAGACGAACTGATTCAACATTATTTTGAGGGTGGGTATACCTATGATGTAATCTGCTGTATACTCCAAATTAGACATAACTTGAGTTGCAGGTAGGCTCATAGAAGTC